CGTAAGCAAATACATTATACAGTTGCCTTAAACTTAACACCCCTCTTGCCAAGTGGTACTACCGTATAGGTTTTTTAAACATTGCAATGTATCGTAATGGTTATTTTTAGAATAGCAAACTGATGCAGCTGTTAATACGTGTTGTAAACGTAGACACTACTAGACCAGTACAATAATGCTTAACTGCTGCATGAAAAGAAATATTGTGATTTACATAGATGTGCCGACCAAAAATATTTTTTAACAAATATCATTGTTTAAAACTAAGTTTAAAAGTTTCCAAAAAGGCGCCACTTTGCTGAAAATGGCCAGAGGGGGAGCGGCCGCTCCCCCTGCTCCCCCCTGCGTACGCTACTGTATACACTATAAAGAAAAGCGTGGTTCATATGAAGAGATAGTGTGGTCAGACACTATGCCTAGCCGCCTTTACTTTCACTAACGCGAGTTAAGTACCCATCACCCGGCCTACTGACTTGAACCCGGATTCGAACTCGAGGCTTACGGGTTAGCAGTCCAGCTCTCTACCGCTTGACCACTCTGTCCCTTCTTTTCTTTATAGTTATTTAAAGTGTATAACTTATTTTCTCCTTTTTAGAGTATTATTACATGAAAGTATGTTTTTGAAACGTTTTTTTTATGAACTTTTTTAGTACTTTCCATGTTTTTATTTATAATAGAGTTACATGACTAAAAACCATTATTGAACGTGATGACACGTGTGGAGTAGTTGGATAGGACTGCCTACTAATTTGGTCAAATTTTTTATTAATTCATAAAAATTACTCAGGCGATCAATTAAGTCAAAATAAATGTCATGATGCATTGTTTCATGTCTTGACCCACGTACCAATTACGAACCGTATTTGTCAGTTAGAAGTGCCTGCCATTTTGATCTAGACAGACAGACTGACGAGGTAGTGAGTTAAATAAAAGCTTGTAAAAATAGTGATTTTGATAGACTATAGACTAATTAGATTAATATTTTTCTGTTTTAATTATGAACCTTAACATAAAATAATCAATGCGGTAGTTATTTAAAAAATTAACTTAAATTAGTGAGTGAGTTCAATTTCTTTTTGAATTACCTCCCCTGGCATAATTATAAAATATTTTAATTAATTAGTTTTTTCGACCATACTGTTATTAAAATGTATCCCACTTTTCAAGAAATCTAATCGAAAATAGTATTGCAATTGATCAGTTTAATATAATATAGCAATGTGCGTTTATTTAATATTTTCTTCACGTTATGGAAAAGTGTAAAAACTGTGTCAATTATACAAAAAATGTTAGTCGTTATATAAACAAACCCTTCTCCAATGGTAATAAAAAGACAATGTGGTGCAGTTTAAAAGTAGTGCGTGGTACGATATTTACTTTTATGGTTCCAGAATCTATAGCAATGACGGACTGACACACTACCTAGCTGCTTATATCAGGGGCGGAACTACAGTGCCGCCAGACCCCGCAATGCAAGGGGGCACGCCATTTAGGGGCCCAAAGCGGACCATAGTTAAAAAAAAAATTCTTGCAGTTTTGAATAGATGGTTGTTTTGTACAAAAGACACCATCCCACGCTTTTGTATATTCTTTTTCCATTTGTTTTTAAACCACTGTGAAAGCCGAGTCCTCTTTCTCCTACAATCAAACTTATCAAAGATAAGCAAACGTTCAAACCACTTCCATGACTTATTTTCCTTTATTTAAATAGTCAAATAAGGGTGCTCATAAGCTCAATTTAATATATTTCTACTAAACAAATTAAAAAGCAATTACTTCTCTTAATTATTATTTTTTTTATAAAGTACATACTTAAGAATGACATTGTTTAAAAAGGAAATGTATTTAAAATTAATAATATAAATACAAAAAGACATACACATAAACATAACCATTACTTATACAAAGCTTCATGTTTTATATTTTTTGACCGAATAGAGGTTAAGAGGTTTTATAGCATAGATAAAATAAAACTGATTTTCACAAAAAACACTAATGCACTTACACTAACGACATTATGTTGTAATTTGTTTTAATTGAAACTTTTTTTTCCAAACCCGAACAGGCCAGCAATGAGTTCCTATGTTATTGTTTTGTGTTTATGTTTAAATATATATATATATATATATATATATATATAAATAAATATATATATATATATATATATATATATATATTTGTATATGGGGTGGGCCTAAAATGTGTTTACGGGGTGGCCTTTTTTTTCTAGTTCCGATACTGGCTTATATTATACATTTTAAAAATGTATACGTTTTGATTACAAATGTTTCGTTTTGTTTGTTTTTACTGATTAAGTTTTTTTTTAAATTTTTATCGCGTGTTTTCACAGATTAAGTTTTTGAGGGCATTTGGAGAAGTATTAAAAAGACCAAACACTTTGACGGATGTCAAGTTTAAGTATCGCGACAGTCGAACCATCGGTTCTAAAGTGTTAAAAGAAATTGATAAACTAAAAGCAGTATCTGTGAATAGTGGCTTGCTACTGAATGTTGATTTACCTGTACCAGGGCAAGATTACTTTTAAATTATTTGTATGGAAAAAAACACACCAAAATATGTCATTTTATAATACAAAAACAAATAATAGGCCTACAGAAACATTGTTGTATTTTAAACAGTTTTTAATTCATTGATCAGTTGTTTAAATAGCTCTTTTTCATTTGTATTAAATATTCAGTAATTAAAAAGAAAAGTTATCTTTTTAAATAACAATAGAAATATGTTACTCATTATGTTTTAACTACTTTTTTTCATTACGTCAATGTTATTAGCTGTATTACTCAAATTAAAATTATTTATAGAAATGTATTTTCTATAATTTTAGCTGTTTTCAAGCATGTTATGAGACAGGGGCCATCCTCTTAGCAAAATACATTATGAAAGGACAAACTTTGTTCATTTTTAAAATTGATAGCTAATTTAAATTTAAAAAAAAATCTAAATTAAGTTTTTAAATTTGCAGAATTATTATTGATTTTACAAATACATATTAGTAAACGTTAATTTAGGACTTTTGACACAATTAAAGTGTTAATTAAATGAACTTACACATTAAGACTACACATTTGTTTAACCACATGTATCAATGAAATGAAAAAAAAAACCTGCACTCTTATAAATGTTTAATTTGTAAACAACAGCTTCACCAGTGATTTCATTTGATTATATACACACTACACAGCCAAATTGAGAAGTATTTATGAACATAAATGTACCATCTACCATGACAAAAATTTGTTTATGTTATGAATTTGGTCTTTGTGACAGCATAGGAGCAGAATGTTCCATGTAAATATATCTCCATTTTGAAAGCAGCATCAAAGGCACAATAGCAACACGTCACCAACACTAAGCTGAATTACTTTAATACTGATTGATGCTCAGGTGACAAGACAATTAAAACATGTTAGCTGTAGATTAAGACAAGGAGATGAATTTGAGCTTATCGCAACAGGCACATGAAAACTGATGAACTATTGTAAAAATAACAACCAAATATTGAGATATTTAAGGAAAATAAAATTAATACAGTAACATATAATTAAAGTCAGAAATTTAACTCAGACTAGGATTTTAGGACGTTTTAAATTACCACAAACAATAGTATAGTGATTTAGTAGTAATGTAGTTGTACCATAGCAGTAATGTAATAGTACCATAGTAGTAATGTAGTGGTGCTATAGCAGTAATGTAAAAGTACTATAGTGGTAATGTAATAGTACCATAGCAGTAATGTAAAAGTACTATAGTAGTAATGTAGTGGTGCTATAGCAATAATGAAGTAGTTCTATAAAAACACAAACTACCTGCGTGGTGGCTGGCCTACCATTAACAAAAACCAGAGTTTCTTCCAGTTCGCCCCCCCCCCCCCCCCCCAACGAAATGAAATTTATATAATTTATATAGAAAGTATATACTTTTAACAGTGTCCGCCCCCCCCCCCCCCCTCAAAGATTTCAAGTGAAATTCAAGTGAAACACTGACAAAAACAGGTTGCAAAAATGGTTACAAAAATAGCAATTCTCAAGCTGACTTTTTTATAAGCTGAAACCAAAGTTCCTCCATTCAGTCTCATAGTTACCATGCATAACCTCAGCTTTTTACTTCGTGTGTCATACAACAGTTTCAACACACATGACATTTTTACTACAATATCAAAATAGAGCTTTAGATATTTAAGAACTATGAATGGGTTGAAAATATTGGAGGAAGTGAGGAAAATATGTAAAAAAAAATATGTTTTAAAGCTAAAGGATTAAGATAAACATGTAGTGAGACATCAGCTAGACCTGAGCCTACAGTCAGAGAAACAGTGGGCATCAAGTTACAAAACTACAAGGCCATCCAAGTCTAGTCTTTTGGTGAACTCAAAATTTAAAACATCAAAAAATGTTTAAAAACTGGCCATCAGAAGTTAATTCTATGACATCTACTTACTTGGAACAAAACAATTTTAAAATGTCTGAAAGAATTTCGAGTCATCAGCAAGCAAAGTTTACAACATGTGAAAAAAAAAAAAATTAAAGTTTATACACTACAATAACAAATGAACATTTATCTTTTACAAATTTTGATGTCCACACTGCAGGTGGAGGGGGTAAGAAAAAAAAAATCAACATTTGTGACCCATGTGGTCTAAGGTGATGGGAGTCCACTTTTATTGCCATTAAAAAATAAGCTACACAAGGTATTGGTTCATATGGGAAAAAAATCATGAAAATATACAAAAATGCACATCAAATACTTGTACCTTTAGAACATTTAAAAAGAATTTCTTAAAACATTCTGTAGTCTAGGTTTGATATGTAATATCAGTTATTACCAACCTATATTAAATACCAACATTACATGATATTTATTTGTATATTTAAGGGTCAGCCAAACTTTTCAGTGTCTCCACATTAGAGGGGGGGGGGGGGGGGGGGGGGGGGATGGGGTTGCCTAAATGGACACATGTGGTCAGGAAGAGGGGGGGGGGGGGGCAGGCATATTTCTGAAAGTTTAAATTTTTATAAGGACATCATAAACAGGTAGGTGACCCATAACACTAAAAAATACTAACTTAAGTGAGATGAGCATAGATTTGTACACTATGCACAAAACAACAGGAAAAACATCATTGTCTATTTACATAAAATTTCAACAACAATAATAAAAAAAATGTAATGCCATAAAATATGTATTAATGCAGTGGGTTCATTTGTTGTGATCCAATTAGTCAGCTGAGCTTCAGTTAAATCTACAGGTTTTTGTACACAGCATACCCAACCTAGCCAGATGCTAAGTCTAATATAGTTTAGCAACTGCCTAGTGAGATCAGTCCACAATAAAGATGTAAAAGTCAAGTCCCCCCCACCAAACCTGATGGTCTATGGAGCAAGTGATGTAGAGTTCTTTTTCTGCGACCTCAACATATGAAGGGATAGTGTGGTCAGCATTATGCTCAGCAGTATTTACTTTCCCTAAAGTGAGTTAGGTACCCATCAGAGCTGGGTTGACTCAGGGACTGTATACTGGTTTGAACCCGGAATTTGAACTCGAGGCTTACGGGTTGGCAGTCTAACTCTCTACCGCTTAGGCCACTCCCGTCCCCTACAACAAAGATGCCACGCTGTATTTACAATTCCTCTGGCTGAAGCCAAACCTGAGGGCTGGGGGGGGGGGGGGGTATGAGCTGATACATAAAAAAATACTTTGTGATATATTAAGTACAAGGAAATACAAAATGTTTTGGCTCTATTTATATTGTCAGCAAAAGATCTAGTGAGCTGGACTGAAATTGTGATTCATATCTTATTGCTTTCAGACACACAAGATTTATTCAAATGTATTCTTGTTTCTGACTTGGCATATGAAGGGATAGTGTAGTCAGAACTATGCCCAGCTGCCTTTACTTCCCTAACATGAGTTAGATACCCATTCAAACTGGATGAACCCGGATTTAAACTTGTGACTTTTGGGTTAGCAGTCTAGCACACACAGTCTCACTATTGTGTGCAGGGACTATTATCTGTGGGGTATTTGTTTAGAGTAATGTAAAATACATTAACAGTTATATAAAGTGCATATAGAATAATAGAGGATGTCATTCTAGCTATCAATATAATCGATTTTAAATAATTTGAATTACTTAAGCTACAACATTTAAAACAAATTGTTTTTAAACAAACTTTTAACATAAACTAAATAGATCTAGAAATTTTTAACGTGATATGGAAGAACAAAACTTGCTCTCCTAAATAGAAAGCCCAGCAGTAAAAAAATTACACAACATAAAACTATTGGCAAACATTTAGCATTGCCTACATAACCATTAACCAACTGTGTTGGGCTGACTATGCTACAAGAGCAGACGTAAGGTTTCCTCTTTTATGCTGTAGAGCAGAATAAAATTGCACCTGGAAAATAAATATTTCACATCAATCAGGAATAATTCACATCAATCAGGAATAATTTTGAGTTAAAAGTTTTCACAAAATAAAATAAATATTTAGTTGAGTTAATACAAAATGTTTTAAGATGTTAAAACCTCAACGGGTAAATGCCCTTTTTCTTCTTCTTCTTCTTCTTCGTTCTTAATTTTTAGTGTTGGAAGGGATCGAGCCTTATCTGCCAGATGGTTTGAACTCGAGACTTTTTTCGAATTTATCAACCATGTGCTTTTGCCGACTCGACCACGCCTCCATCACAATTAAGGATACGTGTCAACTGGTTATGCGCCATTGAGGCCATTGACTCCGATTTCAGCCTGCTTTTCTTTTTGGATTTGTTTCCATAGCCTTTGTCCAACCAAGAACAAACTACAAGGCAGCAGTTGTTTGATTTTGGAGTTGTCTCTCCTAGAAGAGTGGCTAACCCCAGCTAACGAGCCTCATCTGCCCAAGGGTTCGAACTCGAGACTTTTCGGTTTAGCAACCATGAGCTTAACCAACTCGACCACGCCGACCCTCCTACTTGTTCAAATAAATTCAATTTTTGAGAAAGTGACAAGTAAGGCACAATACAATATCATATACAGCATTTTCTGCTGGTATCTACAGCAATCCAAACCAAGGGCTTGCGCAGGATAAAAGACATCCACTGGCCTAAAACCATCTCTAATGATAGACTTCTAGAAGAGATGGAAATGGAAGTGGTTTCCAAAAAAAAAAAAGAAGATGGTGATGGATGGGACACATCCTAAGAATAAATCCAGAAATTGCAGGATAAATGCTAAACTGGACGCCTCAACGAAAAAGAAAACATGGAAGGCCAAAGGGAGACATGGAGGTGCACAGGAGGGAAGCAGCTGGCAGAGGCAGGACTGTCATGGGGGACTGCCAGGAAAATTGCCAGAGACCAAAAAAGTGGAGGAAGCTTTCTGTGGCGGTGCAATGTGTCTTGGGTATAAAAAGGAAAAGATGGTGATGATCTATAGCAAGTCAATTGTAGTAAGACTAGCAAAGTAATTAATAGTAATAGCTGAAACCAGCTTTTTAAAGGTAGCCTATCATATTGAGACTAGCAAACCAACCCACAGGAAAAAATACATCCCACCCGCTAAGCACTCAACACTTACTTCTTTTTAAACTTGAGATCATGGATGGTGTCAAACACTTCAACTAGATATTTACGCAGCTTTGGTAACCTGAGATATAACAATTAAAATCTCAAGTAAAACACAAAAAAGAAGATTCCATAATTACACCTTATTTAAAAGCTACACATAGAATTTCTAACCAAAATTAAGGTTTGTGCTGGTTATATATTTAAGTTATTTTAACAATTATTTTTTAAAATGTCAAAATGATTATTATTTTCAATTAAAAATTTCGTTACTTAGTTAAAGTATAGAAACTTTCTGACAAACTCTCCTTAAGTCAACACTCACTTCTCCATGATAAGCTTGATGCTGGTTTCAAATGCTGCTTCATCTGTGAGCTAATTGGCAGATAATAAAATATGATTTAAAAAATCAATGTAATATTCAACTCTAGTCATAGTGGGATGATCAGTAGCCTACAATTCTCACACCAAAAATCTAATAAAATTATGTTATTAACTATAAGTTCAAATTCATATTTGATTTAGTGAACTTGTTTAAATTATGCTAAGAAGAAGTTTTTTTGTGTGTAGTTTAATTTATTTAAATTTTAAAAATGAGTGATAGAAAAACCCAGCACCTCTAATATCTATCTAGCTATGCATGGAGCAACAATGCTCTAAGGGGTCATCCATAAATGATTTTTTTGATGATTTTTACCTTCCCCCTCCGTCACACGTCACAAAAAGCCAGACCACCCCCCTTAAAATGACGTTACACCTCAGCCTACAACCCCCCTCAAAATTGCAGTTGAATTTTTTTTAAACATCAATATTTTTCAAAAATTTTGTCTGAACTAGAGTATTTTAATCAATACCTATTACAATTTATTAAAACAGTTTTTTAAAATGCAAAATAATGTCTAAAATTCGTTTTCTAACATTGCTTTTTTATAATGCAAAAGTGTGACGTCGCACCATCTGAACCTCCCCTCCTCCTCATCACACACCGTCACAAAATTACGGACCCCCCTCCCCCCTACGAGTGTAACGTCATTTATGGACAACCCTTAAGTAGAGCCCAAAAGTTATGAATTTGGATCCCAGACGAGTTGGTAGGACATACAAGTACTAGACCTAGTACAAGTCCAACCATCTAAGATCTGTACCTGACTCACATTAAGGAAAGTCAAGTCAGCTGGTCGTATCACTGACCACACTATCCAGAAACTGATGATCTCTACTTCACCTGTCCTATGTACCATCTGCTCTGTGTGGGTAACTTTACAAATTCATTCTATTATGTGTATGGATATTTTAACAACAAATTACCTCAATATAAGCTTGAATTATTTTAATACTGGACACAGGTAACTCTAAGGCCACAATGTCCACATTTTTATCTGGCAGCCATGGGAACTGGGATGACACTTTGCTGACAATCTGTCATCAGCACAAGTAAAAAACAATTATTCAAAAAAATATTACCAGTATTAGTAAATTATTTATATAAAAGCTGACATAGAGACAAAATACACTGACTATTATTCCGATTGCACCAATTAATTACAGAAGTTAATTATATACATTAGTGATACCCCAAAATAAAGAAAAAACCATAGCGCGTATTTATCAATGATCTCTATGTAAAGAAATCTGAGAATTTTAAAAATCTCGATAAGAGAAACAAAAAAAGTTTTAAGACGAAGAAAACTATTTTAAAACTTTAAATCCCCCCCCCCCCCACATGGAGTCATTAATTTTCAGTAAAAAATTATTCAATTACCAACATTTTACAAATAATTTGATTAAATATCCGGTTGAGTGTCTAAATGCCAACAAAATTAAGGCACTGCCGACATGCAGTACTGACAGAAGTTTTCATGCTTCACCAGGAAAAAACTTTTCTACATTAAGAAAGTGATGCTATAGTTGAACCCTTACCGTAACCGATACAGGAACCCTAATCCTAGCCTTAATCCTAACACTAACATCAGTACTGACAGAAGTTTTCATGCTTCACCAGGAAAAAACTTTTCTACATTAAGAAAGTGATGCTATAGTTGAACCCTTACCGTAACCGATACAGGAACCCTAATCCTAGCCTTAATCCTAACACTAACATCAGTACTGACAGAAGTTTTCATGCTTCACCAGGAAAAAACTTTTCTACATTAAGAAAGTGATGCTATAGTTGAACCCTTACCGTAACCGATACAGGAACCCTAATCCTAGCCTTAATCCTAACACTAACATCAGTACTGACAGAAGTTTTCATGCTTCACCAGGAAAAAACTTTTCTACATTAAGAAAGTGATGCTATAGTTGAACCCTTACCGTAACCGATACAGGAACCCTAATCCTAGCCTTAATCCTAACACTAACATCAGTACTGACAGAAGTTTTCATGCTTCACCAGGAAAAAACTTTTCTACATTAAGAAAGTGATGCTATAGTTGAACCCTTACCGTAACCGATACAGGAACCCTAATCCTAGCCTTAATCCTAACACTAACATCAGTACTGACAGAAGTTTTCATGCTTCACCAGGAAAAAACTTTTCTACATTAAGAAAGTGATGCTATAGTTGAACCCTTACCGTAACCGATACAGGAACCCTAATCCTAGCCTTAATCCTAACACTAACATCAGTACTGACAGAAGTTTTCATGCTTCACCAGGAAAAAACTTTTCTACATTAAGAAAGTGATGCTATAGTTGAACCCTTACCGTAACCGATACAGGAACCCTAATCCTAGCCTTAATCCTAACACTAACATCAGTACTGACAGAAGTTTTCATGCTTCACCAGGAAAAAACTTTTCTACATTAAGAAAGTGATGCTATAGTTGAACCCTTACCGTAACCGATACAGGAACCCTAATCCTAGCCTTAATCCTAACACTAACATCAGTACTGACAGAAGTTTTCATGCTTCACCAGGAAAAAACTTTTCTACATTAAGAAAGTGATGCTATAGTTGAACCCTTACCGTAACCGATACAGGAACCCTAATCCTAGCCTTAATCCTAACACTAACATCAGTACTGACAGAAGTTTTCATGCTTCACCAGGAAAAAACTTTTCTACATTAAGAAAGTGATGCTATAGTTGAACCCTTACCGTAACCGATACAGGAACCCTAATCCTAGCCTTAATCCTAACACTAACATCAGTACTGACAGAAGTTTTCATGCTTCACCAGGAAAAAACTTTTCTACATTAAGAAAGTGATGCTATAGTTGAACCCTTACCGTAACCGATACAGGAACCCTAATCCTAGCCTTAATCCTAACACTAACATCAGTACTGACAGAAGTTTTCATGCTTCACCAGGAAAAAACTTTTCTACATTAAGAAAGTGATGCTATAGTTGAACCCTTACCGTAACCGATACAGGAACCCTAATCCTAGCCTTAATCCTAACACTAACATCAGTACTGACAGAAGTTTTCATGCTTCACCAGGAAAAAACTTTTCTACATTAAGAAAGTGATGCTATAGTTGAACCCTTACCGTAACCGATACAGGAACCCTAATCCTAGCCTTAATCCTAACACTAACATCAGTACTGACAGAAGTTTTCATGCTTCACCAGGAAAAAACTTTTCTACATTAAGAAAGTGATGCTATAGTTGAACCCTTACCGTAACCGATACAGGAACCCTAATCCTAGCCTTAATCCTAACACTAACATCAGTACTGACAGAAGTTTTCATGCTTCACCAGGAAAAAACTTTTCTACATTAAGAAAGTGATGCTATAGTTGAACCCTTACCGTAACCGATACAGGAACCCTAATCCTAGCCTTAATCCTAACACTAACATCAGTACTGACAGAAGTTTTCATGCTTCACCAGGAAAAAACTTTTCTACATTAAGAAAGTGATGCTATAGTTGAACCCTTACCGTAACCGATACAGAAACCCTAATCCTAGCCTTAATCCTAACACTAACATCAGTACTGACAGAAGTTTTCATGCTTCACCAGGAAAAAACTTTTCTACATTAAGAAAGTGATGCTATAGTTGAACCCTTACCGTAACCGATACAGGAACCCTAATCCTAGCCTTAATCCTAACACTAACATCAGTACTGACAGAAGTTTTCATGCTTCACCAGGAAAAAACTTTTCTACATTAAGAAAGTGATGCTATAGTTGAACCCTTACCGTAACCGATACAGGAACCCTAATCCTAGCCTTAATCCTAACACTAACATCAGTACTGACAGAAGTTTTCATGCTTCACCAGGAAAAAACTTTTCTACATTAAGAAAGTGATGCTATAGTTGAACCCTTACCGTAACCGATACAGGAACCCTAATCCTAGCCTTAATCCTAACACTAACATCAGTACTGACAGAAGTTTTCATGCTTCACCAGGAAAAAACTTTTCTACATTAAGAAAGTGATGCTATAGTTGAACCCTTACCGTAACCGATACAGGAACCCTAATCCTAGCCTTAATCCTAACACTAACATCAGTACTGACAGAAGTTTTCATGCTTCACCAGGAAAAAACTTTTCTACATTAAGAAAGTGATGCTATAGTTGAACCCTTACCGTAACCGATACAGGAACCCTAATCCTAGCCTTAATCCTAACACTAACATCAGTACTGACAGAAGTTTTCATGCTTCACCAGGAAAAAACTTTTCTACATTAAGAAAGTGATGCTATAGTTGAACCCTTACCGTAACCGATACAGGAACCCTAATCCTAGCCTTAATCCTAACACTAACATCAGTACTGACAGAAGTTTTCATGCTTCACCAGGAAAAAACTTTTCTACATTAAGAAAGTGATGCTATAGTTGAACCCTTACCGTAACCGATACAGGAACCCTAATCCTAGCCTTAATCCTAACACTAACATCAGTACTGACAGAAGTTTTCATGCTTCACCAGGAAAAAACTTTTCTACATTAAGAAAGTGATGCTATAGTTGAACCCTTACCGTAACCGATACAGGAACCCTAATCCTAGCCTTAATCCTAACACTAACATCAGTACTGACAGAAGTTTTCATGCTTCACCAGGAAAAAACTTTTCTACATTAAGAAAGTGATGCTATAGTTGAACCCTTACCGTAACCGATACAGGAACCCTAATCCTAGCCTTAATCCTAACACTAACATCAGTACTGACAGAAGTTTTCATGCTTCACCAGGAAAAAACTTTTCTACATTAAGAAAGTGATGCTATAGTTGAACCCTTACCGTAACCGATACAGAAACCCTAATCCTAGCCTTAATCCTAACACTAACATCAGTACTGACAGAAGTTTTCATGCTTCACCAGGAAAAAACTTTTCTACATTAAGAAAGTGATGCTATAGTTGAACCCTTACCGTAACCGATACAGGAACCCTAATCCTAGCCTTAATCCTAACACTAACATCAGTACTGACAGAAGTTTTCATGCTTCACCAGGAAAAAACTTTTCTACATTAAGAAAGTGATGCTATAGTTGAACCCTTACCGTAACCGATACAGGAACCCTAATCCTAGCCTTAATCCTAACACTAACATCAGTACTGACAGAAGTTTTCATGCTTCACCAGGAAAAAACTTTTCTACATTAAGAAAGTGATGCTATAGTTGAACCCTTACCGTAACCGATACAGGAACCCTAATCCTAGCCTTAATCCTAACACTAACATCAGTACTGACAGAAGTTTTCATGCTTCACCAGGAAAAAACTTTTCTACATTAAGAAAGTGATGCTATAGTTGAACCCTTACCGTAACCGATACAGGAACCCTAATCCTAGCCTTAATCCTAACACTAACATCAGTACTGACAGAAGTTTTCATGCTTCACCAGGAAAAAACTTTTCTACATTAAGAAAGTGATGCTATAGTTGAACCCTTACCGTAACCGATACAGGAACCCTAATCCTAGCCTTAATCCTAACACTAACATCAGTACTGACAGAAGTTTTCATGCTTCACCAGGAAAAAACTTTTCTACATTAAGAAAGTGATGCTATAGTTGAACCCTTACCGTAACCGATACAGGAACCCTAATCCTAGCCTTAATCCTAACACTAACATCAGTACTGACAGAAGTTTTCATGCTTCACCAGGAAAAAACTTTTCTACATTAAGAAAGTGATGCTATAGTTGAACCCTTACCGTAACCGATACAGAAACCCTAATCCTAGCCTTAATCCTAACACTAACATCAGTACTGACAGAAGTTTTCATGCTTCACCAGGAAAAAACTTTTCTACATTAAGAAAGTGATGCTATAGTTGAACCCTTACCGTAACCGATACAGGAACCCTAATCCTAGCCTTAATCCTAACACTAACATCAGTACTGACAGAAGTTTTCATGCTTCACCAGGAAAAAACTTTTCTACATTAAGAAAGTGATGCTATAGTTGAACCCTTACCGTAACCGATACAGGAACCCTAATCCTAGCCTTAATCCTAACACTAACATCAGTACTGACAGAAGTTTTCATGCTTCACCAGGAAAAAACTTTTCTACATTAAGAAAGTGATGCTATAGTTGAACCCTTACCGTAACCGATACAGGAACCCTAATCCTAGCCTTCATCCTAACACTAACATCAGTACTGACAGAAGTTTTCATGCTTCACCAGGAAAAAACTTTTCTACATTAAGAAAGTGATGCTATAGTTGAACCCTTACCGTAACCGATACAGGAACCCTAATCCTAGCCTTAATCCTAACACTAACATCAGTACTGACAGAAGTTTTCATGCTTCACCAGGAAAAAACTTTTCTACATTAAGAAAGTGATGCTATAGTTGAACCCTTACCGTAACCGATACAGGAACCCTAATCCTAGCCTTAATCCTAACACTAACATCAGTACTGACAGAAGTTTTCATGCTTCACCAGGAAAAAACTTTTCTACATTAAGAAAGTGATGCTATAGTTGAACCCTTACCGTAACCGATACAGGAACCCTAATCCTAGCCTTAATCCTAACACTAACATCAGTACTGACAGAAGTTTTCATGCTTCACCAGGAAAAAACTTTTCTACATTAAGAAAGTGATGCTATAGTTGAACCCTTACCGTAACCGATACAGGAACCCTAATCCTAGCCTTAATCCTAACACTAACATCAGTACTGACAGAAGTTTTCATGCTTCACCAGGAAAAAACTTTTCTACATTAAGAAAGTGATGCTATAGTTGAACCCTTACCGTAACCGATACAGGAACCCTAATCCTAGCCTTAATCCTAACACTAACATCAGTACTGACAGAAGTTTTCATGCTTCACCAGGAAAAAACTTTTCTACATTAAGAAAGTGATGCTATAGTTGAACCCTTACCGTAACCGATACAGGAACCCTAATCCTAGCCTTAATCCTAACACTAACATCAGTACTGACAGAAGTTTTCATGCTTCACCAGGAAAAAACTTTTCTACATTAAGAAAGTGATGCTATAGTTGAACCCTTACCGTAACCGATACAGGAACCCTAATCCTAGCCTTAATCCTAACACTAACATCAGTACTGACAGAAGTTTTCATGCTTCACCAGGAAAAAACTTTTCTACATTAAGAAAGTGATGCTATAGTTGAACCCTTACCGTAACCGATACAGGAACCCTAATCCTAGCCTTAATCCTAACACTAACATCAGTACTGACAGAAGTTTTCATGCTTCACCAGGAAAAAACTTTTCTACATTAAGAAAGTGATGCTATAGTTGAACCCTTACCGTAACCGATACAGGAACCCTAATCCTAGCCTTAATCCTAACACTAACATCAGTACTGACAGAAGTTTTCATGCTTCACCAGGAAAAAACTTTTCTACATTAAGAAAGTGATGCTATAGTTGAACCCTTACCGTAACCGATACAGGAACCCTAATCCTAGCCTTAATCCTAACACTAACATCAGTACTGACAGAAGTTTTCATGCTTCACCAGGAAAAAACTTTTCTACATTAAGAAAGTGATGCTATAGTTGAACCCTTACCGTAACCGATACAGGAACCCTAATCCTAGCCTTAATCCTAACACTAACATCAGTACTGACAGAAGTTTTCATGCTTCACCAGGAAAAAACTTTTCTACATTAAGAAAGTGATGCTATAGTTGAACCCTTACCGTAACCGATACAGGAACCCTAATCCTAGCCTTAATCCTAACACTAACATCAGTACTGACAGAAGTTTTCATGCTTCACCAGGAAAAAACTTTTCTACATTAAGAAAGTGATGCTATAGTTGAACCCTTACCGTAACCGATACAGGAACCCTAATCCTAGCCTTAATCCTAACACTAACATCAGTACTGACAGAAGTTTTCATGCTTCACCAGGAAAAAACTTTTCTACATTAAGAAAGTGATGCTATAGTTGAACCCTTACCGTAACCGATACAGGAACCCTAATCCTAGCCTTAATCCTAACACTAACATCAGTACTGACAGAAGTTTTCATGCTTCACCAGGAAAAAACTTTTCTACATTAAGAAAGTGATGCTATAGTTGAACCCTTACCGTAACCGATACAGGAACCCTAATCCTAGCCTTAATCCTAACACTAACATCAGTACTGACAGAAGTTTTCATGCTTCACCAGGAAAAAACTTTTCTACATTAAGAAAGTGATGCTATAGTTGAACCCTTACCGTAACCGATACAGGAACCCTAATCCTAGCCTTAATCCTAACACTAACATCAGTACTGACAGAAGTTTTCATGCTTCACCAGGAAAAAACTTTTCTACATTAAGAAAGTGATGCTATAGTTGAACCCTTACCGTAACCGATACAGAAACCCTAATCCTAGCCTTAATCCTAACACTAACATCAGTACTGACAGAAGTTTTCATGCTTCACCAGGAAAAAACTTTTCTACATTAAGAAAGTGATGCTATAGTTGAACCCTTACCGTAACCGATACAGGAACCCTAATCCTAGCCTTAATCCTAACACTAACATCAGTACTGACAGAAGTTTTCATGCTTCACCAGGAAAAAACTTTTCTACATTAAGAAAGTGATGCTATAGTTGAACCCTTACCGTAACCGATACAGGAACCCTAATCCTAGCCTTAATCCTAACACTAACATCAGTACTGACAGAAGTTTTCATGCTTCACCAGGAAAAAACTTTTCTACATTAAGAAAGTGATGCTATAGTTGAACCCTTACCGTAACCGATACAGGAACCCTAATCCTAGCCTTAATCCTAACACTAACATCAGTACTGACAGAAGTTTTCATGCTTCACCAGGAAAAAACTTTTCTACATTAAGAAAGTGATGCTATAGTTGAACCCTTACCGTAACCGATACAGGAACCCTAATCCTAGCCTTAATCCTAACACTAACATCAGTACTGACAGAAGTTTTCATGCTTCACCAGGAAAAAACTTTTCTACATTAAGAAAGTGATGCTACAGTTGGACCGTAACCGATTCGGGAACCCTAATCCTAGCCTTAATCCTAACATTAACATTAACATCAGTACTGACCAAAGTTTCATGTCTGCGCTTGACCAAGAAAAAACTTTTCTTGTTGTCCTGAGCTAAGAATGTGATGTTACAGTTGAAGGTGGCCCCGTTGCTGTTGGCCACGCCCATGTTGACGGAGCTGATGTTGTGACTAGTGTCTCCGTAGCCCTGGTTCTCCTTGATGTTGGCCCTCTGGGGGGCGAACTGGACCACATCTGAGGAATCTCTGCAAGGGAGGGAAGTCAGTTTAACACAACTGATGAGAGTAATGGAGGAAGGGAGGGAAGTCAGTTTAACACAATTGATGAGAGTAATGGAGGAAGGGAGGGAAGTCAGTTTAACACAATTGATAGGGGAGGGAACTCAGTTTAACACAATTGATAGGGGAGGGAAGTCAGTTTAACACAATTGATAGGGGAGGGAAGTCAGTTTAACACAATTGATAGGGGAGGGAAGTCAGTTTAACACAATTGATAGGGGAGGGAACTCAGTTTAACACAAATGATAGGGGAGGGAACTCAGTTTAACACAAATGATAGGGGAGGGAAGTCAGTTTAACACAATTGATAGGGGAGGGAAGTCAGTTTAACACAATTGATAGGGGAGGGAAGTCAGTTTAACACAATTGATAGGGGAGGGAAGTCAGTTTAACACAATTGATAGGGGAGGGAAGTCAGTTTAACACAATTGATAGGGGAGGGAAGTCAGTTTAACACAATTGATGAGAGTAATGGAGGAAGGGAGGGAACTCAGTTTAACACAAATGATAGGGGAGGGAACTCAGTTTAACACAAATGATAGGGGAGGGAAGTCAGTTTAACACAATTGATAGGGGAGGGAAGTCAGTTTAACACAATTGACAGAGTTTGGTAGAAGGGAGCTTTGGTTAGAAACTTTTTTTTATTGAACTTCACTCCTAATAAATTTTTAAAAACTTGATCAACTGTTGGTTGTTGAGTCATCAATACATTTTTTGACAATTTTTACCCCCCCCCCCCATTTTCTTAGTGTCACAAACAGCCAGTCCCCCCCCCCCCCCTTAATGATGTCAACCTCAGCAAAAACCCTCTCTAACAAGATTATAGTCTCAGTGTTTTACAAACATCAATTTCTTTCAAAAATATTTACTGAGCTTGGTCAACATTGAGTATAATAATCAATCCCTATTACAATTTACAAAAAAAACACTTTTTTAAAAAAAATGCGAACTAACTTCTAAAAATAAGTTTCTAAAATTACTTATTAAAATGTCGCACTTTCTGCACCCCCTCCCCCCTGTTTATCACATATTGTGACAACTTCTGGAACACCACTTTAGGAGTGTGATGTAATTTATGGATGCCCCCTAGGGTACACATTTTTATAGTTTAAACACTGATATCTTCAGCTACTTAAAATTATTTTCTCAATTAAGAAAAATAATTTCCGTAAATAAAATACTTAAAAAAAACTTTTTAAAAAACCACGTTTTTCTTGTGGACTAAAAAGTAGAAAATAAATTTTTCTTTTGTGCTTCCTCGAGCTGTGCAGATTCTTGTGATGACTGACAAAAAACGTGGGTACGTTCACCATCAAATTTCCTGACATTTTATTTTCTCCTTTTTAGTCCGTTGCTACACATGAAAAACGTGGTTTTTAAAAAAGTTTTTTATATAGTTTATTTTCTACTTTATCTAATGACTTGATTAAGTATGACTTGACTAAGTGTTTATAAATACACGGACTAAAAATCTTGAGCGACCAGGATTCGAACCTGGGTTGTCGCGGCCACAACGCGAAGTACTAACCACTATACGATCACGGCCTGCGCGCTCACATCGATTGGGGCCGAAGTAACTGTGTCAATAGGCCTCCAGTCTTGTCGGTATCTTTAGAAATCATGTCCTCAATTTTATGGTCCTTGGGGCGTAATTAAATTAAGCTAATTACGGTCTCTAATTGCTAGTTTTTATGATTGCATCTGAAATTGTTAGGCGAAAGTAGCCTGCATGCCAAATTTTAGATCTCTAGAGCAATCAGAAGTGGGCTAATTTTCGATGTCAATTTTAACAACAAACAAACAAACAAACAAACAAACGCGAAGCTGAGTTAATAAAAACGTGTTAAAAAAAGAAAAAAAAAGACATCTGTAAAAAAAAAAAAAAGATTTTTAAAACTTGCATTAAAATATAATTTAGGCATGCAGAAATAAAGAATGCAAGGGCAGACAATCTGTGTACTCATGTGTATTCAGCCTAGCCCAAACTACATAAAAATAAAGTACTCACACTCTGTCAGTCCCTGACCTCTTGTGTTTCTGTAGGTACTCAACCAGGTCATGAATGTAAACAGCTTTGTCTGTCATTGTTTGTAGTGAGTGGACCTGTTCAAACAGATAAACACACACGTGTCTTACAATAGACCAACACACCTGTCTTACAACAGTCCAACACACCTGTCTTACAATAGTCCAACACACCTGTGTGAAGTGTATACCAACACACCTGTCTATAAATCAACACACCATTGTAACAACCAAAGGTTTTTCTGAATGTTACAAACAAACAAACAAACAAACAAACAACCAAATATACTAGTTTTACCTTAACCCTAGATGAAGATTCACTCTCCTTTAGTATGACAATAAATGAGATTCCTTTATTTCTACAATTGTCTTGTAGCTGATCAAAATCCTGATATGAATTAGGTAAAATAAACACAAATTAAAAGTTTATATACATATGCATCATACAGTTTCAATGACAGTTAAAAAAAAATTTAAAATTGTAAATAATAAGCTCGGATTATCAATTTAAAAATAATTGTAGGTTATCAGGCACAATTAAAAAAAATAATCAGTTATTCAAATTAAATTATGATTATATGTAAGAACCTCATGGTATAAAGGACTTGTCTTTAACCCTATCAACCCTTAACTCCTCAACCTAAAATCCCTGTGCCCCTGAGCTAATTGTACACCGTACAGAATCCCGTTTAAAAAATGAAGACTACCAATTTAACAAGAATAATTTTATGATTTTAATTAACATTGAGTCTAATAGGGGTGTAGGAAAAACGACTTCTTCCCTAAACTTATCTCAATACAACTTTTTCTGAAAACCCACCTCTGTCTTATCAAACAAGACTTCTGCCCTAAACTTCTCTATACAACTTTTTCTAAAAACCCACCTCTGTCTTATCAAACAAGACTTCTGCCCTAAACTTCTCAATACAACTTTTTCTAAAAACCCACCTCTGTCTTATCAAACAAGACTTCTGCCCTAAACCCTGCTGCCCACAGGTCTCTGGCCACAGAGAGTTTTTCCCTGACCATCAGATGATGACCCAGGGTACATATAATCACATCACAGGGAGATAAATCTTGCTGGATCTGTAAAGTAACATACAAGGGAGATAAGTTAGTCTGGTGAATAATTATAAATTAATACAATCGACAGAGAAAAAAAATATATAGGGGAAAAAATGTAAAAAATAAATAATTAAGTTAAATGAAACACTTAAGGGTTCTAGTAAATAATCTCCTGGTTCATCTCAAAATAAATGTAAAATTAAGTTCTAAAGATTTTATTTTTTGAAACTGCTCCTGTTTAATTGTCAAAGTTTAAGATGTATGAAATATAGATATCTTTTCAGTGACCTTTGCACAGGAGGTCATTCTATAAATAGCACTATTCCCAGCAATAATTTCTTTCACTCAGAGTAGTGTGAACTTGGGGACATCCTACAAGCTTGAGTCAATGAACTGAACCTCAGACAATAGAGCTCCTCACCACTCAACCTAAATGCTTCATGATAAAGTAAAGATTCCTCTTTAGACTTAGCAATCCAAACTCGAGACCTTTGGGATAGCAGTCAAACACTCTACCATTTGACCATGCCGTCCCTTTGTTTGCTCAATACATTCTTGTATTGACCTGACCAGACCCAACAAAGTGACCCGACCCAACAAACTGACCTGACCCAACAAACTGACCAGACCCAACAAACTGACCAGACTGACCAGACCCAACAGACTTACCAACAAACTGACCTGACCCAACAAACAGACCCGACCCAACAAACTGACCAGACCCAACAAACTGACCCGACCCAACAAACTGACCCGACCCAACAAACTGACCCGACCCAACAAACTGACAAGACCCAACAAACTGACCTGACCCAACAAACTGACCTGACCCAACAAACTGACCCGACCCAACAGACTGAGCAACAAACTGACCCGACCCAACAAACTGACCAGACCCAACAAACTGACCCGACCCAACAAACTGACCAGACCCAACAAACTGACCCCACCTAACAAACTGACCCGGCCCAACAAACAGACCAGACCCAACAAACTGACCAGACCCAACAAACTGACCCCACCCAACAAACTGACCTGACCCAACAAACTGACCCCACCTAACAAACTGACCCGGCCCAACAAACTGACCCGGCCCAACAAACTGACCCGACCCAACAAACTGACCCCACCTAACAAACTGACCCGGCCCAACAAACTGACCCGACCCAACAAACTGACCCCACCTAACAAACTGACCCGGCCCAACAAACAGACCAGACCCAACAAACTGACCAGACCCAACAAACTGACCCCACCCAACAAACTGACCTGACCCAACAAACTGACCCCACCTAACAAACTGACCCCACCTAACAAACTGACCCGGCCCAACAAACTGACCCGGCCCAACAAACTGACCCGACCCAACAAACTGACCCCACCTAACAAACTGACCCGACCCAACAAACTGACCCCACCTAACAAACTGACCCGGCCCAACAAACTGACCCGACCCAACAAACTGACCAGACCCAACAAACTGACCAACAAACTGACCAGACCCAACAAACTGACCAGACCCAACAAACTGACCAGACCCAACAAACTGACCAGACCCAACAAACAGACCCGACCCAACAAACAGACCTGCTCATCCTCAGCAGCCACAGCCGCCAATCTCTCAAAGGACAGACTGACACCCACACCATGGACATGGACGTGGTCAGTGTGGTGGAGACTTGTGAACTTCTCTATCTGTAAGAAAAGCAACAACAGTCAAGTGTGAACACCAATACAACAACAAAATCTGAACAACAATACAACAACAGTCAAGTGTCAACACCAATACAATAACAAAATCTGAACAACAATACAACAACAGTCAAGTGTCGACACCAAGACATGCATGTCAATAAATATACATAAATATAAATAAACAAAACTTTTTTCATGGTTATGACTAAATTGTATAACTTTTAACCAAATGTTTTAAATCAGTGGTTCTTAACCTTTTTGGAGGTACTGAACCCCCATCTATGAATTGGGTATGTATCTTGACCTCAGCCGACCTCCTGAGACTTATTCATTGAACCCCTGGGGTTTGATCAAACCCAGGTTAAGAACCACTGTTTTAATTAGATAAGTATCAATGGAATAAAATGACAATTAAAAAGTGACAGTACCAGTTTGTCATAGCGACCTCCAGCAGCTAGAACCTCCGTGACAATTTTCTTTTTCTTGCGATTGTCACACATGATCTGATAGAGTACACCGGAGTAATGGCTGGGGTTGTAAATGAGGCTCATGGAGACTAACACCTGGTGATACAAGTAAAAAATATCACAGACGAGACTCATAGTAACTATCACCTCCTAAAACATATCATACATGAGGCTCTTGATTAAAAGTAAAACTTTAATTTGGCCCCTTTATAAATTAAAAAAATAAAGATGTTTCAGGTTTGATGAAAAAAATACAGCTGTAGTGGATGCTGTAAGCATAATTTAAAACAGTCTAGTTCTATCATTTTATTTATGTAAGCTGAGGTTATGCATGACATTGGACTATCTGATGACTACATCTTTAACTACAAAAGGTTAGATAGTACAGACACATCACAACATCATCAATATGATACCATCATCAGTGCGATACCATCATCAGTATGATACCATCATCAGTATGATTTTCCTAAGGCAGAGTGCCATGCTAATGGAGACAGGTTAAAGTGTGAGAAGGATAACATCGAAGAATGAACTGGTTTAACACTGGGTGAGACAATGAAGATGGCAGAGAACAGAGAGGAGACAACTCTAGGACAGAGAGGTAGAGAGTGGGATGAAACTAGAGAGAGATTTCATTAAACTATACAAAAAAAGTTTACTCAGTAAATTTTTACATTTTATTTCTTCTAGTACCTTAAATGAGATTTTTCAGCAATGAAAGCCAAACATATAAGCAAAAATATTTTATTTGAAGAATGAAAAACTAAATTTTAAATAAATCACAGTAACATTACCTGTAACTTTAAGCCCATGTTGTAAGAATGTGATAAGATGTTCTCAATGTCATGTATTCCACTTTTCACCAGGGAACTAGCCTGTAGACGTAAAACATTTCTTTAAAATTGATACTTGAATACACTTAAATATGTTTTGTTTTTAAAATAAAAGTTAGAAAAATACACTTTTAAAAAAGAAAAACATTTTATTTCAAAACATTTCAGTCAAGAAGAAGTTAAATGCATGAACCGATGTAATATTGTGTACAAGATTTCTATATTAATTTCAGTAAGTTGCAATTTTATTACAATGTGTCATATTTTTTATTCAGAATGTTTTTTTAAAGGACAAAATTTTTTTTGTTCTAGTACATTGCTAGCATCATCCTGACCTGTATCTAGTACATTAAAAAAAAATGTGTTCATTTTGTTTAGAGTAGTGAGATAAAAGCACATTAAGGAACTGTGTTGATGCTGGACTGTGTAAAGAGATTGATACGAAACAGTCCCTGACACTGTTTTCATTAGTTTAAACCTTAACAAAATGCATCCTGAAGGCTCTTGAAACTGTAATGACAGAACAAGTTTGTGTCAATGTAAAGCTACAAGACATGACTAAATTTTCCAGGGGATAGACACTGGTAAACGTATATATTTTCTATAAAAATTCCATATTGTTCGAGGGGCGGTAGACTTTCTACGGGGGAGGTGGTGCCCCTCTAAAAGAGATGCCTGGAAGAAACTCTGATTCTGTTAGATTGACTTCTCTTTCCCCCTGATAAAATAATCTGAAGCCACACTCACCAGCCCCATAGACTTGGTGATACATTTGAGATGTCCAGCCAGTTTGCTGACAGGGGCTTCAATGTCCAGCAGGTTGTTGAGTAGGGCGGCTGTTTGCTCTGAAAGCTTCAACTGCAGGTCTGTTTCCAAGATGGCCGTCCTCTTAGACTTGTTCGACTGTATGAAAAACATAGTTCAGTATTAAAAAAAATCAGTAAAATTAAGTTTCATCAGGAGACATTAGTCATCATATCTTAGAAGTATAAGTTAAGTTTTAAGTACAACTTAATGGGATGGAATGGTCTAGTGGTAGAGTGATAGACTGCTAACCTAAAATCTCAAGTTCGAATCTGGGATCAAGTCAGTAGAACATCCCGAAGTCCACTAAGTACTGATGGGTACATAACTCACGTTAGAGAAGGTAAAGACAACTGGGCATAGTGCTGACCACACTACTCCTTCATTATTGAGGTCACAGAAACAGGTGAACTCTACTTCCCTTGCCCCATGAACTGTTAACCCACATTGTAAAATTTGTTAACAATGCAGAGAGTGAGAACGAATCTATTTTAAAACTCCCTTCCCCAAACCCAGTTACTCCAGACTTTTTTCTCTCAACACCACTAGGGTAAATCTCTACCAAATAAGGATACTATAACATGAATACATAACATATCAGGAAAAATATTATCTACTGTATGAGTCATATACAGTAAACAGTTTGACATCTAAAACAACTTACAATATTCTCAGACAGCAGGATGAGAGCCTTAGTGTGCACATTTTCTGGTATCCCACAATGCAGCAGTACAGCTTTCAACAGGGATACGTGGTTGATGCGGACGTAATAGTTTCTTGCCTGAACAAAACAGATCAAATAATTCAATAAAACCTTATGTGACTTGTCTAATCTAGTCAAATAGCAATCAAGTTTTTATCAGAAGGTTTAATCTAGTCAAATAGCAATCCATCTGTGATCAGAAGGTTTAATCTAGTCAAATAGCAATCCATCTGTGATCAGAAGGTTTAATCTAGTCAAACAAATTAACAGAAGGTTTAATCTAATCAAACAAATTAACAGAAGGTTTAATCTAGTCAAACAAATTATCAGAAGGTTTAATCTAGTCAAATAGCAATCCATCACTTATCAGAAGGTTTACATTGTGTTGTGTGTTGTACCTGTAATGAAGGGAACCTGTTTATGATCTCCTGGACTATAGTCAGGACCTCAGCATCAGGGATAAGACTGGAAGAAGACAGAGTTGTTACATGAACAAACTTGATATCAGTTTTTAATATATTATAGAAATTATGTCACATCACACAACTTGATATCAGTCTTTAAAATATTATAGAAATTATGTCACATCACAGGGGTCGGTGTGGTCGAGTCGGTAAAGCTCATGGTTGCTAAACCGAAAAGTCTCGAGTTCGAACCCTCGGGCAGATGAGGCTCGTTAGCTGGGGACAGCCACTCTTCTAGGAGAGACAACTCCAAAATTAAAACAACTGCTGCCTTGTAGTTTGTTCTTGGTTGGACAAAGGCTATGGAAGCAAATCCAAAAAGAAAAGCAGGCTGAAATCGGAGTCAATGGCCTCAATGGCGCATAACCAGTTGACACGTAATGCTTAATTGTGTTGGAGGCGTTGTCGAGTCGGCAAAGAAAATTTCATGGTTGATAAATTTGAACAAAGTCTCGAGTTCAAACCCACTGGCAGATAAATCTCGATCCCCTTCAACACTAATAATTAAGAACGAAGAAGAAGAAGAAGAATGTCACATCACACAACTTGATATCAGTCTTTAAAATATTATAGAAATTATGTCACATCACACAACTTGATATCAGTCTTTAAAATATTATAGAAATTATGTCACATCACACAACTTGATATCAGTCTTTAAAATATTATAGAAATTATGTCACATCACACAACTTGATATCAGTCTTTAAAATATTATAGAAATTATGTCACATCACACAACTTGATATCAGTCTTTAAAATATTATAGAAATTATGTCACATCACACAACTTGATATCAGTCTTTAAAATATTATAGAAATTATGTCACATCACACAACTTGATATCAGTCTTTAAAATATTATAGAAATTATGTCACATCACACAACTTGATATCAGTCTTTAAAATATTATAGAAATTATGTCACATCACACAACTTGATATCAGTCTTTAAAATATTATAGAAATTATGTCACATCACACAACTTGATATCAGTCTTTAAAATATTATAGAAATTATGTCACATCACACAACTTGATATCAGTCTTTAAAATATTATAGAAATTATGTCACATCACAAACTTGATAACAGTTTTTAAAATATTATAGAAATAAGTCACATCAATAAAGTTGATGTTAATTTTTTACAATATTATAGAAATTATGTCACATCAATCAAAAAAAGGAAAGATCCCCTTTTAAACCTGACAGTCGATGGGGCAAGTGAAGTAGAGTTCACCAGTTTCAAAGACATCAGTTTACAAAATGATAACGCAGCCAGCACTATGTTTAGCCACCTTTACTTTCCCTAACATGAGTTAGGTACCCATCAGAATCTGGGTGGACTCAGGGGCGTTGTACTGACTTAAATCTGGGTTCAAACTTAAGAGATTCATGTTAGCAGTCTAGCGCTAGGCCACACCATCCCTACATCAACAAACTTGATATTAATCTTAAGCAGGTTATTAAAGACAGTATGTCACATCAACTAACTAGAAACTTAATTAATTTTTACTCGTAAAGAATGCGAGCCACATCAGACAATATTGAAATATTTTCCCATCACAAAAGAATGCATGCCACATCCGGCTTAAATAAAATATTTTCCCATCACAGAGGAATGTGTGCCATATCAGACTTAAATAAAATATTTTATTTTATCAGACTTAAATAAAATGTTCCCCCATCACAAAAGAATGTGTGCCATATCAGACTTAAATAAAATATTTTCCCATCACAGAGGAATGTGTGCCATATCAGACTTTAAAATATTTTATTTTATCAGACTTAAATAAAATATTTTCTCATCAAAAAAGAATGTGTACCGCACCCGGCTTAAATAAAATGTTCCCCCATCACAAAAGAATGTGTGCCATATCAGACTTAAATAAAATATTTTCCCATCACAGAGGAATGTGTGCCATATCAGACTTTAAAATATTTTATTTTATCAGACTTAAATAAAATATTTTCTCATCAAAAAAGAATGTGTACCGCACCCGGCTTAAATAAAATGTTCTCCCATCACAAAAGAATGTGTGCCATATCAGACTTAAATAAAATATTTTATTTTATCAGACTTAAATAAAATATTTTCCCAACCCAAAAGAATGTGAGCCACATCAGACTAAATAAAATGTTCTCCCAACCCAAAAGAATGTGAGCCACATCAGACTAAATAAAATGTTCTCCCATCACAAAAGAATGTGTGCCATACCTGGCTTAAATAAAATATTTTCCCATCACAAAAGAATGTGTACCATACCTGGCTTAAATAAAATGTTCTCCCACCACAAAAGAATGTGTGTCCTACCAATCATTAATGTTACTCACCTAGAGGAGGTAGTGATGATGTCAAAGGCGCACTCAGTCAGCTCTTTAGGGTGGACCGTGAACAAAGCGTTGTAGAACTTCTTCTCTCTGAACACCTTCTCTATGGCAAACCTTTTCATGGAGCGGATGTTGTACCTGCCTACATAACGAGCCAGTGGGACCTGAAAATAAAGGGAGACAATTTTTTTTTTACTGCTAACTCTACTCTACTACCAACTGGAAGTAATTAGTGTAGCCTAGAAACAAATCGAGCAGAGAAAATATTTTACTGCTAACTCTACTCTACTACCAACTGGAAGTAATAGGTGAAGCCTAGAAACAAATGGAGCAGGGAAAATATTTTACTGCTAACTCTACTCTACTACCAACTGGAAGTAATAGGTGTAGCCTAGAAACAAATGGAGTAGAGAAAATATTTTATTGCTCAGTACACTTTTCTACCATTAAATACTAATGTACAAGTCTCTCAGGTGGGATGTGGCAGTCCCTTGGATCAATAAAGAGGAACACATAATACTTCTCTGTCTAATTTAGGTATAGACCTGATGATTTCACTCAATTAAAAGAAAACATTGAAACCTATGTGTCTACACTGAAATCAAATGGCATGATCACTATCTTCCCCCTCCCCCATTAGGTGTATGTATGTACCTACCCTAAGATCAAACAGCATGGTGACTACCCCCCCCATTCTGTGTATGTAACTACCCTAAGGTCAAACAGCATGGTGACTATCCCCCCCCCCTATTCTGTATATGTACCTACCCTAAGGTCAAACAGCATGGTGACTATCCCCCCCCCCTATTCTGTATATGTACCTACCCTAAGGTCAAACAGCATGGTGACTATCCCCCCCCCCCTATTCTGTATATGTACCTACCCTAAGGTCAAACAGCATGGTGACTATCCCCCCCCCTATTCTGTGTATGTACCTACCCTAAGGTCAAACAGCATGGTGACTATCCCCCCCCCTATTCTGTATATGTACCTACCCTAAGGTCAAACAGCATGGTGACTATCCCCCCCCCTATTCTGTATATGTACCTACCCTAAGGTCAAACAGCATGGTGACTATCTCCCCCCCCTATTCTGTATATGTACCTACCCTAAGGTCAAACAGCATGGTGACTATCCCCCCCCCCTATTCTGTATATGTACCTACCCTAAGGTCAAACAGCATGGTGACTATCCCCCCCCCCTATTCTGTATATGTACCTACCCTAAGGTCAAAAGACATGGTCACTATCCCCCCCCCCCCATTCCATGTATGTACCTACCCTAAGGTCAAACAGCATGGTGACTATCCCCCCCCCCCCTATTCTGTATATGTACCTACCCTTAGGTCAAACGGCATGGTGACTATCCCCACCCCCAATCCCCCCCCCCCCCCCCCCCCCCACATTCCATGTATGTACCTACCCTAAGGTCAAACGGCATGGTGACTATCCCCCCTCTGTGGTCCATCACGCGAACAATCTGATCATTGTTGTCATACACACTGCACTTGGGCATCAACAGTGGTAAAGGCATGTGGATGGCCCCATGGTTTGAGAACACTTTGACTAGAACAGATTCTACCTTCTGGTGCAGGAGAGCTGTCTTCCAGCTCATCATCCCCTGCAACATCAAATACAGAAATCTTGACAACAGGTATGTTATTTGAATTATTTTGTACAGAATCTGATACAAGTTTGTTGGTAAAAATCAGACCCAAAACTGGACTTGGTGTAACCTGATAAACTTTAATAATAGAATTTAAGGGTTTTGTGGCTATGAGACTGACAGTCTGGGACTATATTTTGCAAAAAAAAAAAAAAAAAGGGGAATCGGTGAGGGGAGTGGGGTGGGGGGGGGGGGGGGGGGGGGGGGGGAAGGCGGACGGCAATTACATATTTAAATGACTTAAATGTTTAAGATAATGCTGCCATTGAAGAAAAACTGGTCATTTTAGGTGTTTTTAAAATAATATTATATAGTCTAAACATATATTTTTGTGCTAAGTTTTGTGAGGTTTTTAAAATAGTTTATTAAATATTTTGTTAACATCAACACCTCAAGATGTGCCTGAGTGTTTATCACTTTGTAAAAAAAATATAAAACTGGGAGAACTAAAAGCAAGCAGCACTCACTTCAAAGTTTTCATGGTCGTAAGAAACTTCATGAAACGGCGAAACATTCTGCTTGAAGATGGCGTTGAGCATGTAGCGGTAGGACGTGGACTGGGGGTTACATATGGTTGACCTCAGGAGCTCACTCAGCTCTGTCTCCTGCATGAGGGGTGGGGGCAGCAGGTCTGAGCTCAGCAGCTCTTTGGAGGTTGGACGTTTGGATGGGTCATGGTTCAACAGCCAGCGGATGATGGTGGCCTGTCATTAAGTGGATAAGGAGAGCAGTAATTAGAAGTGTGGATAACAGGTCAAAACAAAAAGTTTGGAGAATAAATTGTAAATAATAACCAGCATAATACAGCAACTGATATAATTTGTTAGTTAGAATTTGAAATAAGTACATACAACTGTCGTTACAATAAAATGTTGAGAATTTTTTTTTAATAGAAAATAATCTTAATCAAAGTTAGAGATTTAAAAATTAATTCCATCCTAGTGCTGGATAATAATTTTAATGAATTAAATGATATCCATATGTTAAATAAGACGCCCTCCACTCTCTAAGTAATAAATAATGCCACATTTTCCCATTTTACAATAAAATGTTGAGAATTTTTTTCTTAATAGAAAATAATCTTAATCAAAGTTAGAGATTTAAAAATTCCATCCTCGTACTGGATAATAATTTTAATGAATTAACTGATATCACTATGTTAAATAAGACACCCTCCACTCTCTAAGTAATAAATAATGCCACATTTACCCATAAATAACACCCTCCTCATTCTCCTATTATTAAAAACACTCTATATCATTTTCCCATTTTTAAATAACACCCTCTTCATTCTCCTATTTTTAAAAACACTCTACATCATTTTCCCATTATTAAATAACACCCTCTTCATTCTATTATTGAAAACACACAATATCATTTTCCCTTTTTTTAAATAACATACTAAAACTTTCTTGTATTGTTAAACAACACAACGCAACTCTCCCCTTAATTAATTAACACCCCCCACCCCCAACAATTTGCAATATTACAATTTTCTGCCCGTTATCTCAGACTTTACAATGATCTAAACTAACTGCAGCAGGTGTTTCCACACAGCAACCAAAGATGTCTAACAGCCTTAGGTTACCCACCTGATTCTTCATTTCATCGCTGTCAAACTCAGCAGGCAGCACAACATCTGGCAGACGCAGGTCATTGATGACCCTGACCCTCTCCATGCCAGTGGTCAGGGATTTGTAGCACATCTCAAAGAAAATTATCCCCAGACTGTAGATGTCCACTTTCTGGTCAGACCAACAAAGTAAAAGGTACATCAAAAACAAGTTAAAATAATAAGAATAGGAATACACCTTGCCAATTAATTGTTTAGATTTAATGAAAACAGAAATTTTTTTTTAATAATTTTCAAAGCAATCTCAAGAGTATGTTTAAAAATTAAATTAATAATTAACTATGATTAACATTTAGTCTTCAAAATTGGTTAAAAGTTTTTAAAAACAATCATATAATAGAAAAGTATTAAGTACTAAAAATAATATTTACTTTTTTTATACTGAACAATATGGGAGATAATTAGGCCCTATAAAATGCAGCAGGAAGGATAACTCTTAAAATTACCACTGAACACTCACCTGGTCATAATGAACTTTTCTGTCCCCTAGCATAACCTCTGGGCTGACATACAAGGCTGTGCCCACCTGGCCAGTGAGGTTACCATCTCCACTGCTGCACCCAGAGCGTGAGTGGTTCAAACCCAGGTCTTGTGGGGAGGGCAGGGTCTTGTCCAGTAAAATCCCTTGCTGGGATGGTACAATACATTTACAGTTGATTCAACACAACACAATGTACTCATAGACTGTATTTAGATATTTTAGTTAAAATAACTTTGGCTTAATCTGTTTTAAAGAAAGGTATGCAATCAAGTTTGAGTGGACCATAAAATATGGTATATTTTAATAGGAAAAACAAAAGATGTATGCCTTAAGGAGGATGTGAAGATGAATGCTATAGTCCCATTAACAGATTAGCTCTACTTTATCTGAACTATGGATCTAAATACTTAAATGCCACTTTACTTTAAACAACTTTTGCATAATAATGATACAATAAAATTTTAAACGAAAACAAAAATTCAAAATCAAAAAGTTTTTCAAACTAGAATTGTGTAAAGACTACATAATTTTTAAAATTATTAGTTTTTCTTTTTCATCTTGGTTCTTAATTCCAATGTTAGCAGGGGTTTCCTCCAACACAATTAAGTATTATGTATCAACTTGTTATGCGCTTATGACTCCAATTTCAGCCTGCTTTTCTTTTTGGATTTGCTTCTATAGTCTTTGTCCAACCAAGAACAAACTACAAGGCAGCAGTTGTTTGATTTTGGAGTTCTCTCTCCTAGAAGAGTGGCTGTCCCCAGCGATCACGCTTTATCTGCCAGAGGGTTCGAACTCTGGACTTTTCAGTTAAGTAACCATGAGCTTAACAGACCCCTTTTTAATTAGTGAAATTAAACATCTTTGACAATTCTCAAGGAAATACCTACCAATTGTGGCATGCATAACAATTTAAACTAACATACCTTAGCAATGATGTCTGTAGTGGCATGCATTACAATTTGAACAAACACACCTTAGCAATGATGTCTGTAGTGGCATGCATTACAATCTGAACAAACACACCTTAGCAATGATGTCTGTAGTAGCAAGGCCAAAGTCTCCAATCTTGACATGGTCCAGTGAATCCAAGAAGATGTTGACTGGCTTCAAGTCTCTATGGATCATGCCCTGAGAATATAGTTACAATATTTAGTGGATCATGCCCTGAGAATATAGTTACAATATTTAGTGGATCATGCCCTGAGAATATAGTTACAATATTTTGTGGATCATGCCTTGAGAATATAGTTACAATATTTAGTGGATCATGCCCTGAGAATATAGTTACAATATTTAGTGGATCATGCCCTGAGAATATAGTTACAATATTTAGTGGATCATGCCCTGAGAATATAGTTACAATATTTTGTGGATCATGCCCTGAGAATATAGTTACAATATTTAGTGGATCATGCCCTGAGAATATAGTTACAATATATAGTGGATCATGCCCTGAGAATATAGTTACAATATTTAGTGGATCATGCCCTGAGAATATAGTTACAATATATAGTGGATCATGCCCTGAGAATATAGTTACAATATTTAGTGGATCATGCCCTGAGAATATAGTTACAATATTTAGTGGATCATGCCCTGAGAATATAGTTACAATATTTAGTGGATCATGCCCTGAGAATATAGTTACAATATTTAGTGGACCATGCCCTGAGAATATAGTTACAATATTTAGTGGATCATGCCCTGAGAATATAGTTACAATATTTAGTGGATCATGCCCTGAAAATATAGTTACAATATTTAGTGGATCATGCCCTGAGAATATAGTTACAATATTTAGTGGATCATGCCCTGAGAATATAGTTACAATATTTAGTGGACCATGCCCTGAGAATATAGTTACAATATTTAGTGGATCATGCCCTGAGAATATAGTTACAATATTTAGTGGATCATGCCTTGAGAATATAGTTACAATATTTTGTGGATCATGCCCTGAGAATATAGTTATAATATTTAGTGGATCATGCCCTGAGAATATATAGTTACAATATTTAATGGATCATGCCCTGAGAATATAGTTACAATATTTAGTGGATCATGCCCTGAGAATATAGTTACAATATTTAAAGGATCATTCCATGAGAATATAGTTACAATATTTAGTGGATCATGCCTTGAGAATATAGTTACAATATTTAGTGGATCATGCCTTGAGAATATAGTTACAATATTTAGTGGATCATGCCCTGAGAATATAGTTACAATATTTAGTGGATCATGCCCTGAGAATATAGTTACAATATTTAGTGGATCATGCCCTGAGAATATAGTTACAATATTTAGTGGATCATGCCCTGAGAATATAGTTACAATATTTAGTGGATCATGCCCTGAGAATATAGTTACAATATTTAGTGGATCATGCCCTGAGAATATAGTTACAATATTTAGTGGATCATGCCCTGAGAATATAGTTACAATATTTAGTGGATCATGCCCTGAGAATATAGTTACAATATTTAGTGGATCATGCCCTGAGAATATAGTTACAATATTTAGTGGATCATGCCCTGAGAATATAGTTACAATATTTAGTGGATCATGCCCTGAGAATATAGTTACAATATTTAGTGGATCATGCCCTGAGAATATAGTTACAATATTTAGTGGATCATGCCCTGAGAATATAGTTACAATATTTAGTGGATCATGCCCTGAGAATATAGTTACAATATTTAGTGGATCATGCCCTGAGAATATAGTTACAATATTTTGTGGATCATGCCCTGAGAATATAGTTACAATATTTAGTGGATCATGCCCTGAGAATATAGTTACAATATTTAGTGGATCATGCCCTGAGAATATAGTTACAATATTTAGTGGATCATGCCCTGAGAATATAGTTACAATATTTAGTGGATCATGCCCTGAGAATATAGTTACAATATTTTGTGGATCAAGCCCTGAGAATATAGTTACAATATTTAGTGGACCATGCCCTGAGAATATAGTTACAATATTTTATGGATCACGCCCTGAGAATATAGTTACAATATTTTATGGATCATGCCCTGAGAATATAGTTACAATATTTAGTGGATCATGCCCTGAGAATATAGTTACAATATTTTGTGGATCATGCCCTGAGAATATAGTTACAATATTTAGTGGATCATGCCCTGAGAATATAGTTACAATATTTAGTGGACCATGCCCTGAGAATATAGTTACAATATTTAGTGGATCATGCCCTGAGAATATAGTTACAATATTTAGTGGATCATGCCCTGAGAATATAGTTACAATATTTAGTGGATCATGCCCTGAGAATATAGTTACAATATTTAGTGGATCATGCCCTGAGAATATAGTTACAATATTTAGTGGATCATGCCCTGAGAATATAGTTACAATATTTAGTGGATCATGCCCTGAGAATATAGTTACAATATTTAGTGGATCATGCCCTGAGAATATAGTTACAATATTTAGTGGATCATGCCCTGAGAATATAGTTACAATATTTTGTGGATCAAGCCCTGAGAATATAGTTACAATATTTAGTGGACCATGCCCTGAGAATATAGTTACAATATTTTATGGATCACGCCCTGAGAATATAGTTACAATATTTTATGGATCATGCCCTGAGAATATAGTTACAATATTTAGTGGATCATGCCCTGAGAATATAGTTACAATATTTTGTGGATCATGCCCTGAGAATATAGTTACAATATTTAGTGGATCATGCCCTGAGAATATAGTTACAATATTTAGTGGACCATGCCCTGAGAATATAGTTACAATATTTAGTGGATCATGCCCTGAGAATATAGTTACAATATTTAGTGGATCATGCCCTGAGAATATAGTTACAATATTTAGTGGATCATGCCCTGAGAATATAGTTACAATATTTAGTGGATCATGCCCTGAGAATATAGTTACAATATTTAGTGGATCATGCCCTGAGAATATAGTTACAATATTTAGTGGATCATGCCCTGAGAATATAGTTACAATATTTAGTGGATCATGCCCTGAGAATATAGTTACAATATTTAGTGGATCATGCCCTGAGAATATAGTTACAATATTTTGTGGATCATGCCCTGAGAATATAGTTACAATATTTTGTGGATCATGCCCTGAGAATATAGTTACAATATTTAGTGGATCATGCCCTGAGAATATAGTTAAAATATTTAGTGGATCATGCCCTGAGAATATAGTTACAATATTTTGTGGATCATGCCCTGAGAATATAGTTACAATATTTTGTGGATCATGCCCTGAGAATATAGTTACAATATTTAGTGGACCATGCCCTGAGAATATAGTTACAATATTTAGTGGACCATGCCCTGAGAATATAGTTACAATATTTAGTGGATCATGCCCTGAGAATATAGTTACAATATTTAGTGGATCATGCCCTGAGAATATAGTTACAATATTTTGTGGATCATGCCCTGAGAATATAGTTACAATATTTAGTGGACCATGCCCTGAGAATATAGTTACAATATTTAGTGGACCATGCCCTGAGAATATAGTTACAATATTTAGTGGATCATGCCCTGAGAATATAGTTACAATATTTAGTGGATCATGCCCTGAGAATATAGTTACAATATTTAGTGGATCATGCCCTGAGAATATAGTTACAATATTTAGTGGACCATGCCCTGAGAATATAGTTACAATATTTAGTGGATCATGCCCTGAGAATATAGTTACAATATTTAGTGGATCATGCCCTGAGAATATAGTTACAATATTTTGTGGATCATGCCCTGAGAATATAGTTACAATATTTTGTGGATCATGCCCTGAGAATATAGTTACAATATTTTGTGGATCATGCCCTGAGAATATAGTTACAATATTTAGTGGATCATGCCCTGAGAATATAGTTACAATATTTTGTGGATCATGCCCTGAGAATATAGTTACAATATTTAGTGGATCATGCATTGAGAATATAGTTACAATATTTTGTGGATCATGCCCCGAGAATATATTTACAATATTTTGTCTGGTCTTAGACATTTTAAAAAGTGCATTAATATAGTAATTTACATGAGGAATTTTAAAAATCAAATTAAATTTCTATGAATTATGGACTTTAATTTCAAGGATTTAAAAATAAATGACGACTGATTTAAATATCTCATTATGTATATTTTGACAGCCAAACTTAATCTTAGTGAGTTAAGGGGATTAAAAATTCGTTATGTTAAATTTTATATTTGGTCAATTAAAAAATACTTTTTTGAAGAAACCTAAAAATGCGTGGCATACCTGGCCATGTATGTGTACCAGACCTTCTATAATCTCCCTGAACAGCCTCCACACCCTATCCTTTTCATTACACAGCCCAGCATCAATACAGTTCCTTAATGTGCTCTTCTCACAGTACTCCATCTGTACACAATAAATAGTTATAGATAAATGTATTAGTTTCAAACAAGGCTGACGCTAGTAATATACTACAAAAGTTTTTGTCCTGAAAAAAAAACACTCTATAAATTAAAAATTTGAAACGTAAAAACTTCCAAACTTACTGAAGTTAATATATTATAATATATTGAGCTTGAATCTAATACATCGCAGGTGTATTAGATTCTTACCAGAATATACAACATATTCAAGATATAAGCTGCAGGCATATCCAACAGATTCTTACCTGTATAATAAAATATTTTCAGGGCATAAGCCTCAGGTGTATTAAATTCTTACCTGAATTAACAATATTTTCAGAACATAAGCCTCAGGTGTATTAAATTCTTACCTGAATATACAACATTTTCAGGACATAAGCTGCAGGCATATCCGATAGATTCTTACCTGAATATACAAAATTTCAGGACATAAGCCTCAGGTGTTATAGATTCTTACCTGAATATACAATACTTTCAGGACATAAGCTGCAGGCATATCCAATAGATTCTTACCTGTATAATACTATATTTTCAGGGCATAAGCCTCAGGTGTATTATATTCTTACCTGAATATACAATATTTTCAGGACATAAGCCTCAGGTTCACCTCTCTCCTCTTGTTGGGGTGTGCTGGGTTCTGTTTCCTTCTCCACCTGAAGTAACAAAGACAAGAACAAAGTTTTCTTGTTAATTATTTAAAAAAAAATATACAGAACTGGATTGTTATCAATCATTAAAACCATATTCCTGCACTGAACAATCTAGCATACCTAAAAACTCACCTTGTCTCTTAATATGTTTTTGTTTGAATCTTAAATTAAAATTTTCCCCCTGAACAACAAAAAACCCACAATTTATGTGGCTCAGTATTTGTAACTTGCGAACTTACTAATTTAAAAAGAAAATATTGTAAGTAAAAAAAGTTCTTGTTTCCAGCCCAGGATTTCAAACTACACTTCCTGCCACTTCCTGTTTACCACCTTATACTTTGTAAACTCACAGTTGAGAGATCTCTGTCCTGATCTCCTGTGTCATCTGTGTCAAATATAATGCTGTCTTCAGACCGGTTGATTTTTGGCCTGACGTAAAGAAAAAATTGTTAATTTATTTATAATGCTGTCTTTAGACCAGTTGATTTTTGGCCTGATGTAAACAAAAACGTTATAATTTTAAAACTTCTTGTGACTTTGTTAATCTTCATATATCACATGGACATTTTTACCAAATAAAAACAATATAATATATTCCATAAAGCTTTGCCAAAACAAAACACTAGTTGTTTTACTACTGAAATTATTAATTATGATTTTACAATTTTGAAACATCTTTAGTATAAACTAATATGCAGTTTTTCTAAAATTAACAAAGTTATTTGTAAATAACCTGTAAATCAATATGGTTTGTATACATTCCATAACAATAAAATGGTAATCCTTAAAATACATGGTACACATATAAAAATAGTATCTCTTGTAATAAATTTATTCTTACATAAATGAAGAACCAAATACATCAGCTTCATCCTCTTCTTCAGATGACGAGGAATCAATGATTACTTCCCCTGAAATTTACAATTAAAATAAAAATTTGTATTTGAATTCAAGTAAAAAAAAGGTTCAAAACTTCAATGATACTTTTTCCAGCAGTCAACAAAAAGCTTTATAAACATTTCTTTTTAATCGTGTAAGTAGAAATATAAAAAAAAAAATGACACACAATTTTAACAATGATTGCTAAAATGATTTTTTATTTTTTAAAAAGTTCTAAAAATGTCATTATTTTAACAACCGGCTGAATTTTTAAAATTACAGAAATCAGAATCAAAACAGTTGATACAATTTAAAATCACTGACCCCCATCAAATGACGTCAACCACTCCACGGACTCATCCCCAACACGTGGGACCAGGTTCTCCATCTCTGCCGTTGGGTCGTAACTGGAGTTGGCGGACTTGACGCCCGTCAGGACAGGGGTCTTGGTCAGTGGGATACTGCGCACAATGTGGGGGGCCTTCTTGGCCATGGCCGCTTCCTGGGCCTGGGACGAGGATGTGAAACTGGACGACGTGTCAGAGAACGCCGGGTCGTCGCTGATTTCAATCCAGGAACAGTAGTATCTGTGATGGTTAATGGAACAGTAAGATTTTATAAACAACACTTTGTCTGCTGCGTCTGTATATAAGGTTCAAGTTAGTAGACTGTCCATATTGCTGACCACACTATCCTTTCTTCTTCTTCTTCTTCTTCGTTCTTAATTATTCGTGTTGAAGGGGATCGAGATTTATCTGCCAGTGGGTTTGAACTCCAGACTTTGTTCGAATTTATCAACCATGAGCTTTTTGCCGACTCGCCACGCCTCCAACACAATTAAGCGTTAAGTGTCAACTGATTATGCGCCATTTAGGCCGTTGACTCCGATTTCAGCCTGCTTTTCTTTTTGGATTTGCTTCCATAGCCTTTGTCCAACCAAGAACAATCTACAAGGCAGCAGTTGTTTAATTTTTGGAGTTGTCTCTCCTAGAAGAGTGGCTGTCCCCAGCTAACGAGCCTCATCTGCCCGAGGGTTCGAACTCGAGACTTTTCGGTTTAGCAACCATGAGCTTTTACCGACTCGATCAAGCCGACCCCTACTATCCTTTCAAATGCCGTGGTCACAGAAACAAGTGAACTTTACTTCACTTGCCCCATAGGCCTTCAGGTTTGGAAGGGAACTTTTATTTTTTTACTGTATATAATAGAAACTACTATAGAAAGTATGTATAAGATATGGGACGGTGTGGCTTAGAGCGCTAGGCTGCTAACCCGAAAGTCTTGAGTTTGAATCCGGGTTCAAGTCAGTAGACCGTCCCTAAGTCCATCCAGCTCTATTGGGTACCTAACTCACATCAGGGAAAGTTAATGCTGACCACACTTTCCCTTCATATGCAGAGGTCAAGAAACATATGAACTCTACTTAATCTGCCCAATGGATTTCTCTGTCTAAAGAGGATTCCTTACTTTTTTTTTCCTATATAATATACAATAATTTGTGTAAAAATAGATATGTAAATACAGAATTAATAAAAGCAAGTTATGTTTTTTACAATAACATGTTAGTACATACTTGGAACGTGTACATGTATATCCTATTGTAGAATCAAGTTGTGATTTTTTTCCTCCCAAGATGTTAATAAGGGCTAGAACTGAAAGCTCTATTTATAAAACTATTGCTATGATTAGGTCTAGGCATACACCTGGGTCACACAGAAACAGGGGATTCTACTTCACCTGCCCTGCTGATCGCCAGGTCCGACAGGTAACTTTCTCTTCGTTTATTTTTTTTTAATGACAATTATGTACAATCACCTGACGACATTTTCATGGTTGAGGCGAGACAGCAGCTTGACTTCCCTCTTCATCTTCTTGTTGAACATTTTACTCTTAGGGTTGAGTGGGATTCTTTTGATAGCATAAAACCTGCCGTCTAGCTTGTTCTTTACCTAGGCAAGAACAAACAAAATATTTTATTTAACAAGGGAGACAACTCGAAATTTATTGCAGAACAGAAAAATGATATTAATTCCTTGATGTTTAGAGGGTGTTAGTTTGGAAAATGAACCATATTTTTGTGGCTATAAATGTGTGGTTAAGCAATAATGATGCCAAGCCCCTATTGATTCAGCAACCCATGTGAGTAGAATTAATTCAGGAATGTCTTAAGGTGCATATTACCCTGGATTAAAATTTATATCACTTCTGGATTATTACCCCGCCACCTCACTATTACTTTACTGCTCTAAATCCTCCTTTACTCAGCACTTTGATCAACTCAAATTGGACTGACTACTGGTCAGTAGGCTACAACATTCACCTTGATGACATCACCAAATCCTCCTTTACCCAACACTTTGAGCAACTCAAATTCAGACGCAAGTCTGGAATGACCACTGGCCACTAGGCTACACAGATATTCAAATTCCTCCTCCTCCTTATTATCCGAGTTATCATCATTATTTTCATCTTCTCTTTTTGCTAAAAATAGAACACAATGCTTCATGAATATTTTTAGTGTAGAAAAAAAAAAGCTGCAGTGAAATTCAAAATTAACCAACCAAATTAACAGATAAATATAGCCAACACATTTATATATTAGTGTAGAAAATAAATCTGCAGTGAAATTCAAAATCAACCAACCGAATTAACAGATAAATATAGCCAACACATTTATATATTAGTTCAAAAACAAAGACAATATATTGTTAATTAATGCTAATTTTTTAAATAAAATAATTAATTTAATGTACAGCCATAGGGAAACAATGTTGAGGTGCTGGACTGAAAGTCTTGAGTTTGGTTCCTGGACTTAGTTTAAACCAGAGGCGTAGCGGGTGGGGGGGGGGGGGGGATGGGACATATGTCCTTAGGGGGCGCCAAAATGGGTTGGAAAAATAAATTGAAAGCTTGAGGGGGGTGCAAATTGAAAGTTTGAATGGGGGGGGGGGGGGTGAAAATTGAAATCTTGAGGGGGGGTGCAAATCAAAATCTTGAGGGAGGGGGTGCAAATCGAAAGTCTGTCCCCGGGCGCCAGGAAGGGTAGCTATGCCTCTGGTTTAAACAACTCTGTTTTGAACCTTTCCCTCTATATGCCAAGATAATAGAATTCTACCTGCTCCATAGACTGTCTTGTCCAAATAGGGTATTATTATTTTTTTTACTAAATTACAGGCTCCTTATATAGTCAGAATTGCAAGAAAATGCTAGTGAAATCATACAAAAGTAAAAATGAATTTTCCAAGACTGGAGAGCCTTGTGGCAGGTGAAGTAGAGTTCACATGTTTCTGTGCCAGTTGCATTATTAAGTGATAGTGTGGTCAGCACTATGCCCAGCCAACTTTACTTTCCCTAACTTAAAGGTACCCATCAGAGCCCGGAATCTGAACTCGAGACTTTCAGGTGGTAGAGTGTACAACTGCTAACCTTGAGTTCAGATCCTGGGATTGTACTTTGTTTAATCAACAAATCAACAAAATATTTCTCAGAACATTAAATTCAGAATATTTTTTTTTATGATACAACTATATGCGATAAACAAACACATGTCTGCTTGGGGGAAATGCCTCCAAAAATTCTACTTGCCTGCAGTAACAAAATCTCTACTTGCCTGCAGTAACAAAATCTCTACTTGCCTGCAGTAACAAAATCTCTACTTGCCTGCAGTAACAAAATATCTACTTGTCTGCAGTAACAAAATCTACTTGCCTACAGTAACAAAATCTCTACTTGCCTGCAGTAACAAAATCTCTACTTGCCTACAGTAACAAAATCTCTACTTGCCTGCAGTTAGACCTTTGCATGCTTCAGATAGAGAAACCTTCTGCGGGAGCTTCTCCTTGATGAAGGCGTGTTCAGTCAGCTGGGCTGCAGTCCATCGCACTCTCTCGTCCTTCAGCAGGCACCTGCAGCGACATTTTAAACAATCAAGTTACACACCAATAGAAACATTTTAAACAATCAAGTTACGCACCAATAGAGACATTTTAAACAATCAAGTTACACACCAATAAAAGACATTTTAAACAATCAAGTTACACAACAATAGAAACATTTTAAACAATCAAGTTACACACCAATAGAAACATTTTAAACAATCAAGTTGCACAACAATAGAAACATTTTAAACAATCAAGTTACACACCAATATAAACATTTTAAACAATCAAGTTACGCACCAATAGAGACATTTTAAACAATCAAGTTACACACCAATAGAGACATTTTAAACAATCAAGTTACACAACAATAGAAACATTTCAAACAATCAAGTTACACACCAATAGAAACATTTTAAACAATCAAGTTACACACCAATAGAAACATTTTAAACAATCAAGTTATGCACCAATAGAAACATTTTAAACAATCAAGTTACACACCAATAGAGACATTTTAAACAATCAAGTTACACACCAATAGAAACATTTTAAACAATCAAGTTACGCACCAATAGAAACATTTTAAACAATCAAGTTACACACCAATAGAGACATTTTAAACAATCAAGTTACGCACCAATAGAAACATTTTAAACAAGTTACACACCAATAGAAACATTTTAAACTCTCAAGTTATACACCAATAGAAACATTTTAAACAATCAAGTTACGCATCAATAGAAACATTTTAAACAATCAAGTTACGCGCCAATAGAAACATTTTAAACAATCAAGTTACACACCAATAGAAACATTTTAAACAATCAAGTTACACACCAATAGAAACATTTTAAACAATCAAGTTACACACCAATAGAAACATTTTAAACAATCAAGTTACACACCAATAGAAACATTTTAAACAATCAAGTTACACACCAATAGAAACATTTTAAACAATCAAGTTACGCACCAATAGAAACATTTTAAACAATCAAGTTACACACCAATAGAAACATTTTAAACAATCAAGTTACACACCAATAGAAACATTTTAAACAATCAAGTTACGCAACCAATAGAAACATTTTAAACAATCAAGTTACACACCAATAGAGACATTTTAAACAATCAAGTTACACACCAATAGAAACATTTTAAACAATCAAGTTACACACCAATAGAAACATTTTAAACAATCAAGTTACGCACCAATAGAAACATTTTAAACAATCAAGTTACGCACCAATAGAAACATTTTAAACAATCAAGTTACACACCAATAGAGACATTTTAAACAATCAAGTTACGCACCAATAGAAACATTTTAAACAAGTTACACACCAATAGAAACATTTTAAACTCTCAAGTTATACACCAATAGAAACATTTTAAACAATCAAGTTACACACCAATAGAGACATTTTAAACAATCAAGTTACACACCAATAGAAACATTTTAAACAATCTCAAGTTACGCACCAAAAGAAACATTTTATGTTACCAGCAGTCTGTTGCTTTGAAATTCTATTACATGCCAGTCACTTTTAGACTTTGCTTAGGACATTCTATAGAATGACATGTACCCTTATAGGCACAGTGTGAAATCTCCATAGTGGAGTTAAGTTTAATATTAATGTGTGAAGAAACCACAATGAACAATAGATGTTTTGAAAATGTATTTTTAATAACTAATTATCTAAAAAGGGAATAAAAATTAGATATGCCTTAAATAGAATAAATTGATATAAAATATTACTTATAATAACATTTTTTAGCAAGAAAAGTTGGAATAGATTTTTTAATGGCACATAATGTTATTTTTAAAGGAAAGGTATTTGTTATGTTGGCACTTTGTTTTGCTCATATACTTTTATACATATAGGCCCTCTTCAGGTGGGATGGAAGGAATGGTCAAGCAGTAGAGCACATGACTGCTCATCTGAATGTCTTGAGCTCAGCTCCCTTACTTGTGACTGTAGGATGCTGATTATGATCTTACTTGGGTTGTAGGTAGAAACGTAAAAGTAATTGGTTATAGCGCTGTTAACAAAATCTGTGATAATAAATAAATCTGTCATAAAAATTTATGAACTCTATCTGCCCTTCACGGTCATGTTCCTTTCTGTGAAATGAGCTATAGCAACAGATCAAAGTGGTATTTTTCATGGCCAGGAATGTCTTCAACCTAGATCTTGGTTGTATTCCTTACACTTTTTCTTTGCTAAAATCCACCACTTATCACATTCATAAAAAACTGCTTCATTCTGTCACAGAGAAGTGATTTCCATGAACAGCATGTTTTGTTGACACTGGGGATAAAAATCCATACTGTATCAATGTCCAGTTTTCTATTTTTCAGCCGGTACTTCTAGGTTGAATTTAAACTGTCATATTGCACCCCATTCTTTCCATCCTGGGCAATCTTTTTTACTCATGCATGTCAACAGATCTGTACAAGGATTGGGTCCCAGCATCTTTATCATTGGCCATTACAGTTTTCATTTAAATAATTAGTAGTTACCACAAAGACAGTATCAGCAAAATCCAAATAGATTTAACCAGACTTGTTATTTTTTAATATGTAATTAAAATAGCATGTTTTGTTTTTCCACTAGAAAGTAATTTTAATTTGTAATAAGAGAAAATAAAATAAGAAGACATGATTTTTATAAAATATACTTATATCTATATTTAGTTCAGCCATAAAATATAATAAAAGCTTTATATTATGTTTCACAAGCCGTTGTTTATTTTTGTTAACTTGAGCATTTTATTCTAAGTTGTTTCCCTTGGTTTGAAATGATTTTACACCTGAACTTAAAGGGGAGGTAACTTCGCCATTAGTTCATACACAATAACTTGTGCTTTTCTACATTGTTTTGTTTAATTAAGTCAATAAAAAACTTAACCATTATCTACAAGACACTGCACTCAAACTCAAGACTATGAGGTAACAAATCCTGCTCTCAACACTTTGAGCATACATTAGCTTCAAAATATTACATCGGATGGCTGATATTCTAGTAAAAAGACCGCCATCTACAGAGGTAAAACTCAACAACTGTTGATGATTTGTTTCAAATTTAGGTGAATCAAAAATTTACAATTAAAAATCAACATCAACTACAGATGTAGATGAGCTCTACTCCAGCCATCAATGAGATTTTCAATTCCTGAAAGATTATTGATAAGTAACAATTTAAATATTTGCTCTGTATCCTGACTAATTACGATTCAACTTAATGACATTTAAAAAAAACAAAAAAACAACAACAACAAAAACCTCATGTATGAGAAATAAAACATTATTGATTATTTTAAAGTTGCGGAACTTACTTGGTCAGGAAGTCTTGAAGGACAGATGGGAGATCAGTTGGAATTTCTGGAATGGTTTCCATTATAGGCTGCCCAAGGATAAGTGTCAACATCAACAAGCCCTGGCAACAAGTTATGAGAACAATTAACAATAGAATAAGTTACCAGGAACATAGGAACAAATCCTAAGAACATTTAGCAGCAAGAGTAGTAGCATAACAAAATAAGAGATATGAATATGCAGCAAAAAGCACTAGTCACTAGCAATACTGGAATACATCTTGATAGTATTTTGCAACAGAATAAGTTCCAGTAGCAAAAGAACTAAACATGAATATGCAGCAACCAGTACAAGTTGCCAGCAATCCATGAATAAATCCTGAGAACATTACCAAAAGAAATGAACAAATCCTGAGAATATTTAGCAACAGAATAAGTTCCAGTAGCTAAAGAACAAAACCAGAACAAGTTGCCAGAAACCAAGGAACATATCTTAAGAACATTTAGCAAGAGAATAACTTGGCAAACAGAAAAAAAGTTGCAACAAGATTTGAACACACAGCAACCAAAAGAAAACCACACTGCTACTAATATATAAAATGAAGAAAAACTAATTCTGGTAGAAAAACCTATTGAATAATAAAAACATGATGCTGGTGTTAACATGCACACAAACACCCACACCAGAGACGTAGCGACCCTTCCCGGCGCCCAGGGACAAACTTTCAATTTGGCGCCCCCTCGGTAGCAAATTTTCAATTTGCACCCCCCCCCCCCCCCCCCCCAGCCCTCAAACTGCAACAATGCAGCTAAAATGATTTGTTTTTACAACCCATTTTGGCGCCCCCTAAGGTCGGCGCCTGGGGACATATGTACCCCCCTGCCCCCCCATCGCTACGCCTCTGACCCATACACAATATATATTTGTGGGTAGCTAAAACTAACCAAACCCAAATACTAATAACACTTACCCCATGCTCAATGTGGTCACTCATATAAGTAAAAAAGAAACCACGCCACAACAATATATAACAAACAACACCAACAACTCACCAACTGATATATGTCACCTTTTTGGCCTCCCCTCCCCAGAACCATTGGTCTAACATCGGAGAACCTCACACCTGGCCTGGCCTTGTCAACAGTCTCATACAGATCACCTAGCCTAAGGGGAGAGAATTTGTACAAGTCTTGAGAGTTTTGAAAATATATTGTATATCTTTAAATGTATACACAACTATAATGAAAAAAAAATACACAAGTAGTACTGGTTCATTTGTATAATATTTTTTAGCGCAATTTCCATTCTGGAGAATTGCGTTTATTAACGCGTCATTTCTGGGAATGGATGGATGGATGGATGAATGAATGTATGGATGAATGTGTGTCCGGGCTTTAAGTCGTATCTCCTCCTCAACGAAGCAATATCGATGACTAGTTCCAAAAGAAATTATGTTAAGCAAGTTACGAGAATGAGCATAGGCCATAAAAATTCCGGGTTTCTTTCATGTATTTCCCGGAAAAGCCAAAAAAACTCGAAAAAATGCAGTTTTTGGCCCATATCTCGGCAACCAGACCACTTAGCGACTTGAAACATGTACCAATCGATTCCTGCCATAATTTAGAACAATATTGCCGAAGAAAGTTTTCAATAATATCCTCTCGTTTGGTCACAAATTTTAAAATTACAAAAACACCTACAAACCGATCGTTCTTCTAGCTTGAACGCATCCCAGCATTATACGTCAGAGCTATTTTTAGATAACATAAGGAAATTGCGCATAAATGTCACTAGACTTTTTTAATTAACTTGTTTATTTTAATATTTCTTTTTTATAAATCCAATTTTTTTTTTAATAAATCCAATAAATTTAGGAATGTAGAAATAGTACAATCAAATCATAAAAAAAGAAGAAAAACCAAACAGCTACTTTGCACTTAGTGATTGTTTTTTATACTTTTGACCACACACCATTTTTATGTTGATTATATAAGTAACAAGTTGAAAATAAAATGTGACATTTTAAAATGTAGCACACAATATGTGTGTAAACATGAACGTATCACAAGAATGTGTACATATTTGTACTATTCTCAAGAATGAATGTTTAAATTAAATGAGTATTAATTGATCTTATAACCAGAAATATTTTTACGTACCTTTTATCTATACTATAATCACCTAGTCGAACCTTCCCACTGCTGTCTATGAATATACTTGATGCCTGAAAATAAAATTTTTATACATGAAACCTGAAGCATCTTTCAAACTGTGGGACACAGTGGCCTAGCAGTAAAGAGCTATACTGCTAACCTGAAACTCTCGAGTCAAATCCAGGTTTAAGTCAGTAAAATGTCCCTGAGTCCACCCAGCTATGATGGGCACCAAACTCAGGTTAGAAAAAAAAACAAGGTGGCTGAACATAGAGCTGACCTCACTATCCCATCATATGCCGGGGTCTCTGAAGCAAATGAACTCTACTTCATCTGCTCCATGTTTCTTGGACACAAAAGGGAAAAGATGATGATCTTTGAAATTGGTAATGAAAACACACGATGTCAAATAAATCTAAAATGAAAATTAAATTAATTGTAAAATGCTTTTTTGGACACAGTTTCAAACCCAAAAGCCTCCAGTTAGGTGCCTGTAAATGATATCCTGATTCTAACCAGCTGTGATGTGTACCCAATGCATAGTTAGGGAAAGTAAAGATAACTGGACATTTAACTTAACACACTCTGCCTTCACATTCCATCATTACCAAGAATGTGACAATACTAACATCAGCTTACAAAAGTGGCCAACAACATTCACTACTTTAAAATGTAAGGATGACTAAATTTTACATTCCATCATGTCCAAGAACGTGACAATGCTTACATAAGCTTACTAAAGTGGCCAACAACATTCACTACTTTTGTAAAGATGACTAAATTTTTTAGAAAAATCTCTCTAGTCAGATCAATGTGACTCACCCTGAGATTCTTGTGTACAATAGAATTTCTATGTAAATACTGTAGTGCTTGCAGGAGTTCTGCTGTGTAGACCTTTAGCATCTCCAATGGTAACGCATTGCCATGATGGGAGTAAACAGCTAGATTTGTTCCCCCTGAATACTCCATCAAAACCTGTATGTGACAAATGTAAGGGATGGAATCACACAGTTTAAAGAGGGAAAAAAAATGATTATCTAGGTTTGAGTTGCATCCCTTGATGGCTCACATCATAGCTGGCAGTTTGTTTATAACAAATGTTTCTAGATACATTATGTATGGAACATATGACAAATTAAGTAAGAGGAGAACAGATTAAGTCTGTGTACTAGAACAGATTAAGTCTGTGTACTAGAACAGATTAAGTCTGTGTACTAGAACAGATTAAGTCTGTGTACTAGAACAGATTAAGTCTGGGTATTAGAACAGATTAAGTATCTGTACTAGAACAGATTAAATCTGTGTACTAGAACAGATTAAATCTGTGTACTAAAACAGATTAAATCTGTTTACTAGAACAGATTAAATCTGTCTACTAGAACAGATTAAATCTGTGTACTAGAACAGATTAAATCTGTGTACTAGAACGGATTAAATCTGTGTACTAAAACAGATTAAGTCTATACTAGAACAGATTAGGTCTGTACTAGAACAGATTAAATCTGTGTACTAGAACAGATTAAATCTGTGTACTAGAACAGATTAAATCTGTGTACTAGAACAGATTAAATCTGTGTACTAGAACAGATTAAATCTGTGTACTAGAACAGATTAAATCTGTGTACTAAAACAGATTAAGTCTATACTAGAACAGATTAAATCTGTACTAGAACAGATTAAGTCTGTGTACTAGAACAGATTAAGTCTGTGTACTAGAACAGATTAAATCTGTGTACTAGAACAGATTAAATCTGTGTACTAGAACAGATTAAATCTGTGTACTAGAACAGATTAAATCTGTGTACTAAAACAGATTAAGTCTATACTAGAACAGATTAAATCTGTACTAGAACAGATTAAGTCTGTACTAGAACAGATTAAATCTGTACTAGAACAGATTAAGTCTGTACTAGAACAGATTAAGTCTGTGTACTAGAACAGATTAAATCTGTGTACTAGAACAGATTAAATCTGTGTACTAGAACAGATTAAATCTGTGTACTAGAACAGATTAAATCTGTGTACTAAAACAGATTAAGTCTATACTAGAACAGATTAAATCTGTACTAGAACAGATTAAGTCTGTACTAGAACAGATTAAATCTGTGTACTAGAACAGATTAAGTCTGTACTAGAACAGATTAAATCTGTACTAGAACAGATTAAATCTGTGTACTAAAACAGATTAAGTCTATACTAGAACAGATTAAATCTGTACTAGAACAGATTAAGTCTATACTAGAACAGATTAAGTCTGTGTACTAGAACAGATTAAATCTGTACTAGAACAGATTAAGTCTGTACTAGAACAGATTAAATCTGTACTAGAACAGATTAAATCTGTGTACTAAAACAGATTAAGTCTATACTAGAACAGATTAAATCTGTACTAGAACAGATTAAGTCTATACTAGAACAGATTAAGTCTGTGTACTAGAACAGATTAAATCTGTACTAGAACAGATTAAGTCTGTACTAGAACAGATTAAATCTGTACTAGAACAGATTAAATCTGTGTACTAAAACAGATTAAGTCTATACTAGAACAGATTAAATCTGTACTAGAACAGATTAAGTCTATACTAGAACAGATTAAGTCTGTGTACTAGAACAGATTAAATCTGTACACTTACATGTACTGTGATTTTACCAGGCTGATACTGATGTCTCCAGCCCAGGTAATGAATGAGATTTGTGTGACTTAACCTCAGTAAAGCTATAAGTTCTTGTTCAATGCTCAATACCTGAAATATTTAATGAATGAGATTTGTGTGACTTAACCTCAGTAAAGCTATAAGTTCTTGTTCAATGCTCAATACCTGAAATATTTAATGAATGAGATTTGTGTGACTTAACCTCAGTAAAGCTATAAGTTCTTGTTCAATGCTCAATACCTGAAATATTTAATGAATGAGATTTGTGTGACTTAACCTCAGTAAAGCTATAAGTTCTTGTTCAATGCTCAATACCTGAAATATTTAATGAATGAGATTTGTGTGACTTAACCTCAGTAAAGCTATAAGTTCTTGTTCAATGCTCAATACCTGAAATATTTAATGAATGAGATTTGTGTGACTTAACCTCAGTAAAGCTATAAGTTCTTGTTCAATGCTCAATACCTGAAATATTTAATGAATGAGATTTGTGTGACTTAACCTCAGTAAAGCTATAAGTTCTTGTTCAATGCTCAATACCTGAAATATTTAATGAATGAGATTTGTGTGACTTAACCTCAGTAAAGCTATAAGTTCTTGTTCAATGCTCAATACCTGAAATATTTAATGAATGAGATTTGTGTGACTTAACCTCAGTAAAGCTATAAGTTCTTGTTCAATGCTCAATACCTGAAATATTTAATGAATGAGATTTGTGTGACTTAACCTCAGTAAAGCTATAAGTTCTTGTTCAATGCTCAATACCTGAAATATTTAATGAATGAGATTTGTGTGACTTAACCTCAGTAAAGTTATAAGTTCTTGTTCAATGCTCAATACCTGAAATATTTAATGAATGAGATTTGTGTGACTTAACCTCAGTAAAGCTATAAGTTCTTGTTCAATGCTCAATACCTGAAATATTTAATGAATGAGATTTGTGTGACTTAACCTTAGTAAAGCTATAAGTTCTTGTTCAATGCTCAATACCTGAAATATTTAATGAATGAGATTTGTGTGACTTAACCTCAGTAAAGCTATAAGTTCTTGTTCAATGCTCAATACCTGAAATATTTAATGAATGAGATTTGTGTGACTTAACCTCAGTAAAGCTATAAGTTCTTGTTCAATGCTCAATACCTGAAATATTTAATGAATGAGATTTGTGTGACTTAACCTCAGTAAAGCTATAAGTTCTTGTTCAATGCTCAATACCTGAAATATTTAATGAATGAGATTTGTGTGACTTAACCTCAGTAAAGCTATAAGTTCTTGTTCAATGCTCAATACCTGAAATATTTAATGAATGAGATTTGTGTGACTTAACCTCAGTAAAGCTATAAGTTCTTGTTCAATGCTCAATACCTGAAATATTTAATGAATGAGATTTGTGTGACTTAACCTCAGTAAAGCTATAAGTTCTTGTTCAATGCTCAATACCTGAAATATTTAATGAATGAGATTTGTGTGACTTAACCTCAGTAAAGCTATAAGTTCTTGTTCAATGCTCAATACCTGAAATATTTAATGAATGAGATTTGTGTGACTTAACCTCAGTAAAGCTATAAGTTCTTGTTCAATGCTCAATACCTGAAATATTTAATGAATGAGATTTGTGTGACTTAACCTCAGTAAAGCTATAAGTTCTTGTTCAATGCTCAATACCTGAAATATTTAATGAATGAGATTTGTGTGACTTAACCTCAGTAAAGCTATAAGTTCTTGTTCAATGCTCAATACCTGAAATATTTAATGAATGAGATTTGTGTGACTTAACCTCAGTAAAGCTATAAGTTCTTGTTCAATGCTCAATACCTGAAATATTTAATGAATGAGATTTGTGTGACTTAACCTCAGTAAAGCTATAAGTTCTTGTTCAATGCTCAATACCTGAAATATTTAATGAATGAGATTTGTGTGACTTAACCTCAGTAAAGCTATAAGTTCTTGTTCAATGCTCAATACCTGAAATATTTAATGAATGAGATTTGTGTGACTTAACCTCAGTAAAGCTATAAGTTCTTGTTCAATGCTCAATACCTGAAATATTTAATGAATGAGATTTGTGTGACTTAACCTCAGTAAAGCTATAAGTTCTTGTTCAATGCTCAATACCTGAAATATTTAATGAATGAGATTTGTGTGACTTAACCTCAGTAAAGTTATAAGTTCTTGTTCAATGCTCAATACCTGAAATATTTAATGAATGAGATTTGTGTGACTTAACCTCAGTAAAGCTATAAGTTCTTGTTCAATGCTCAATACCTGAAATATTTAATGAATGAGATTTGTGTGACTTAACCTTAGTAAAGCTATAAGTTCTTGTTCAATGCTCAATACCTGAAATATTTAATGAATGAGATTTGTGTGACTTAACCTCAGTAAAGCTATAAGTTCTTGTTCAATGCTCAATACCTGAAATATTTAATGAATGAGATTTGTGTGACTTAACCTCAGTAAAGCTATAAGTTCTTGTTCAATGCTCAATACCTGAAATATTTAATGAATGAGATTTGTGTGACTTAACCTCAGTAAAGCTATAAGTTCTTGTTCAATGCTCAATACCTGAAATATTTAATGAATGAGATTTGTGTGACTTAACCTCAGTAAAGCTATAAGTTCTTGTTCAATGCTCAATACCTGAAATATTTAATGAATGAGATTTGTGTGACTTAACCTCAGTAAAGCTATAAGTTCTTGTTCAATGCTCAATACCTGAAATATTTAATGAATGAGATTTGTGTGACTTAACCTCAGTAAAGCTATAAGTTCTTGTTCAATGCTCAATACCTGAAATATTTAATGAATGAGATTTGTGTGACTTAACCTCAGTAAAGCTATTAGTTCTTGTTCAATGCTCAATACCTGAAATATTTAATGAATGAGATTTGTGTGACTTAACCTCAGTAAAGCTATTAGTTCTTGTTCAATGCTCAATACCTGAAATATTTAATGAATGAGATTTGTGTGACTTAACCTCAGTAAAGCTATAAGTTCTTGTTCAATGCTCAATACCTGAAATATTTAATGAATGAAATTTGTGCGACTTAACCTCAGTAAAGCTATAAGTTCTTGTTCAATGCTCAATACCTGAAATATTTAATGAATGAGATTTGTGTGACTTAACCTCAGTAAAGCTATAAGTTCTTGTTCAATGCTCAATACCTGAAATATTTAATGAATGAGATTTGTGTGACTTAACCTCAGTAAAGCTATAAGTTCTTGTTCAATGCTCAATACCTGAAATATTTAATGAATGAGATTTGTGTGACTTAACCTCAGTAAAGCTATAAGTTCTTGTTCAATGCTCAATACCTGAAATATTTAATGAATGAGATTTGTGTGACTTAACCTCAGTAAAGCTATAAGTTCTTGTTCAATGCTCAATACCTGAAATATTTAATGAATGAGATTTGTGTGACTTAACCTCAGTAAAGCTATTAGTTCTTGTTCAATGCTCAATACCTGAAATATTTAATGAATGAGATTTGTGTGACTTAACCTCAGTAAAGCTATTAGTTCTTGTTCAATGCTCAATACCTGAAATATTTAATGAATGAGATTTGTGTGACTTAACCTCAGTAAAGCTATAAGTTCTTGTTCAATGCTCAATACCTGAAATATTTAATGAATGAGATTTGTGCGACTTAACCTCAGTAAAGCTATAAGTTCTTGTTCAATGCTCAATACCTGAAATATTTAATGAATGAGATTTGTGTGACTTAACCTCAGTAAAGCTATAAGTTCTTGTTCAATGCTCAATACCTGAAATATTTAATGAATGAGATTTGTGTGACTTAACCTCAGTAAAGCTATAAGTTCTTGTTCAATGCTCAATACCTGAAATATTTAATGAATGAGATTTGTGTGACTTAACCTCAGTAAAGCTATAAGTTCTTGTTCAATGCTCAATACCTGAAATATTTAATGAATGAGATTTGTGTGACTTAACCTCAGTAAAGCTATAAGTTCTTGTTCAATGCTCAATACCTGAAATATTTAATGAATGAGATTTGTGTGACTTAACCTCAGTAAAGCTATAAGTTCTTGTTCAATGCTCAATACCTGAAATATTTAATGAATGAGATTTGTGTGACTTAACCTCAGTAAAGCTATAAGTTCTTGTTCAATGCTCAATACCTGAAATATTTAATGAATGAGATTTGTGTGACTTAACCTCAGTAAAGCTATAAGTTCTTGTTCAATGCTCAATACCTGAAATATTTAATGAATGAGATTTGTGTGACTTAACCTCAGTAAAGCTATAAGTTCTTGTTCAATGCTCAATACCTGAAATATTTAATGAATGAGATTTGTGTGACTTAACCTCAGTAAAGCTATAAGTTCTTGTTCAATGCTCAATACCTGAAATATTTAATGAATGAGATTTGTGTGACTTAACCTCAGTAAAGCTATAAGTTCTTGTTCAATGCTCAATACCTGAAATATTTAATGAATGAGATTTGTGTGACTTAACCTCAGTAAAGCTATAAGTTCTTGTTCAATGCTCAATACCTGAAATATTTAATGAATGAGATTTGTGTGACTTAACCTCAGTAAAGCTATTAGTTCTTGTTCAATGCTCAATACCTGAAATATTTAATGAATGAGATTTGTGTGACTTAACCTCAGTAAAGCTATTAGTTCTTGTTCAATGCTCAATACCTGAAATATTTAATGAATGAGATTTGTGTGACTTAACCTCAGTAAAGCTATAAGTTCTTGTTCAATGCTCAATACCTGAAATATTTAATGAATGAGAATTTGTGCGACTTAACCTCAGTAAAGCTATAAGTTCTTGTTCAATGCTCAATACCTGAAATATTTAATGAATGAGATTTGTGTGACTTAACCTCAGTAAAGCTATAAGTTCTTGTTCAATGCTCAATACCTGAAATATTTAATGAATGAGATTTGTGTGACTTAACCTCAGTAAAGCTATAAGTTCTTGTTCAATGCTCAATACCTGAAATATTTAATGAATGAGATTTGTGTGACTTAACCTCAGTAAAGCTATAAGTTCTTGTTCAATGCTCAATACCTGAAATATTTAATGAATGAGATTTGTGTGACTTAACCTTAGTAAAGCT